GTAAGAGATGTGTGGTTGCAGGGCTTCCAGTGGTTAAAGGAGAAATATGCAAGTCTTCCCTTAGTCTTTTCTGTAGAGGTCCACTGTTGGCATCTAGTTTGAATTTTTTTTTTTAATTCTACAGTGTACAACATAATGTTTTGATATATGTATCTTCAATCAAGCTAGTTAACAAATTCATTACTAGTTTGAATTTCTTTTTTCAGGTTCTAAGTAGAAAAAAGGCTGGCAGGTGACAGACAGAAGAGAGAAAAGTGCCTTTACTTCCTTGTTTTCTGCTGCTAGTGTTGCTAGGCTGGGAGGTGACAGAGGAGAGAAAAGGTGCCTTTTAGTTCCCTGTTAACTGGTGCTAGTGCTGAAGAGGGTTCTGTACTTACTGTGGAAACTGGAGCTTGGGGAAGAAGCTGGGAGGTTGGCTTCTGTTCCTGCAATGAGCCAGTGGGGAGATAAAACCAGTTGGGAACTTCAGGCGTCACTGTTTGAAAGGAAACAGGTGAGAAATTCCTCTATCTGTGAGAGAAAAGCACAGGACTTCCCTAGGATCTGCTGCCTAAGGCTTGTACACATCTATGCTGTGCTGATTCAGACTTGCGTCTTACCTGGCACTGGTCTGCTATAGCCTCTCAGAGAGCTGGTCCCTAAAATTCCCACTAGATCCTAAGAACCTTCCTACCATTCAGGGTTTATTTTAACACACTCTTTTCTCGCTGGTTCTGGTATTAGATGTACCTCTAAAACCAGAAGCACAGCTCTTTGCTTTCTGTTCCTCTTCCAGAAGCTAGTCACAACTGAGGGAGGCAGGTGAGTATTGAGCACATCCTTGTGTTCTCCACGCTCTTAGAGTAGTGCTAGGCAGATTCTTTCTTTGATTTTTTTTTTTTTTTTACCTTTTTGTCTTTTTTCGTGTCCGGCAACGGATCGCAACCCTCGGTGCTGCACCTGCACCTTGCTCAGCCAGTGAGCAGAAACCGGTCTGCATGTGGGATCCGAACCCTCGGCGGGAGCGCCGCCGCACTCCCAAGTGGCGCACTGTAGCAGTGCGCCACTGGGCCGGCCCCCGATTTTTAATCACATTCATCTTGATCCCAGGAACATCAGGCTCACAATGGGAAAACTTGGGTCATCTGGCAGCTGCTGTCATTAAAACTCTAAAAGCAAGCGATTTGATACCCTGGATATTGGACATAGAAGAGGACTGAAGTTGATCAGGGCAGAAGAGCCAGTACGATATGGTGGTCATACTGATCCCTTTCTCCCATCCTCTAAGCCAAAAGTTCAAAGGAAAAAGGAAGCAGTGTTGGGACTCACCTTAGCCAGAATGCGGTAAAGATCATGCTTGCTCTTTCTACCATTACTGTATATAGTAACCTACACACACTTACAGCCACAGAGAATGGTGAATAGCCTGGTCAATGCCAAAATGGACTGCCCCCAGCTCACAGTCCCCTTTCTTTGGAGTGTGCTCCCAATACTCAGGGGTGAGTCCCTGACACAGCCATTACTCTGTGGCCTGCCTTGCTGGCAACAGGCTCAAGAGTCTGCAAATCCTGCAGCGAGGTTCCCAGAGCTGCCCTGGCCCCTGCCCTTCCTGATATTTTGTTAATTTTCCTTAAATTCTATAGTTTACCCCAGAATCTTTCCAATATCCTAACCCCCAGCCTTTTGTCCCCTATTTAAGTGTGTCAAAACCAGAGCAGAGGGGCCGGCCTGTGGCTCACTCAGGAGAGTATGGTGCTGACAACACCAAGTGAAGGGTTAAGATCCCCTTACCGGTCATCTTTTAAAAAAAAACAGAGCAGAACATTTGGACTTTGTCTTGTTCTTAGAAGTTTTGGGTAATGAGGTAACAGTGATGATACCCTAGTCCAAACCCAACATAATTTCTCTCCTGAACTACTAGAGCCATCTCTCTAGAAGAACATCCCACTGGGGGCACACCCCAAAGAAAGGGAACGCGAGCTGGGCAGTCATCCACCTTGGCATTTCTAACCTTCATTCTCCGTAAAGAGGACACCAAAATTTTAACCAGATTATTCACTCCTCTGAACAAAACTCTTCAATGGCTTTCCAATTATCTTAGTTAGCTTGAGCTGCTACAGCAAAATACCATAAAGTAGGTGGCCTAAATATCAAACATTTTTTTCTCACAGTTCTGGAGGTTGGAAGTCTGAGACAAGGTGCCAGCAGGGTTGAGTTATTGGTGAGGGCCCTCTCACCAGTTTAGTCTTCTTGATGTGTCCTCACATGTTGGAAAGAGAGTGACCTAGCTCTCTGGCCTCTTTTTATAAGTATACTAATTCCATTCATAAGAGCTCCACCCTCATGACCTAATTTCCTCCCAAAGGCTCCACCTCCAAATACTATCACATTGGGAATAGGCTTTCAACATGAATTTTGGGGAGACACAACCATTCAGTTCACTGCACATATGTCCTCAGAATAAAATCTAAAATTCTTGGTAAGTCCTCCTTTCGGTTTCTTGCCCAAACTCTTCCTGTCTCAGGAGGACCATCACATGCTAGTTCCTGTCTAAAGTCTTTTTCTGCCTACTCTGAGCTTCATGCTTTGGATCTTGGTCAAAATGCCTCTTTGTCATGGGCTCACTTGTCTTCAGTTTAAATTAGGTCCCCTTATCTTTTTAAATAGCATCTATGCTTTTCCTTCCTAGCTTTTATCACAGCTTATAATTACATATTCATTTTGGTGATTTGTGCAATGTCTGTCTCCCCTACAAGACTCTAAGTTCCTTAAGGGTAAGAACTGTCTCCATTTTGCTCCCTGCTGTAGCCTCAGAGCCTAGCACAGAAACTGGTTTATAGTAGGTACCCAAATATTTGATGATCAAGTGAACAGGAAGAAATTGGCATGTCCAAGGATAAATGAGATGTGAAATAAGAACCTGAATTTGTATGCTAGTGGTGGAAAAGAAATGAGACAGGTTTATTTTAAAGAGAAAAATCAACAGAATTTGATGACAGGTGGTAGAAAAGAGATAATGCTTGACTAGCTAGACATGCTACCTTACTCAGAGAGGAAGTCAAACACAAATAAATTTCACACTTGGGTGACTAATGGTTAAGTTTTGGGAAATAAATTTACATTGGTTTTAGACATATTGGTTGGAGATGACAAAAGGACATCTATGGGGAAATATTCAAAAAGATGCAGGGTGGAGCTGCTGCTTCAGTGGGCATAAGAGAGAAAACCTGAGCCAGATATTCACAGAAGTGGGAACTGAAGTATCTAAGACAATCCAGATGTTGCAGAGAGGAAGATTTACCTCACTTGAAGTGATAGTTACACCGCAGGGATGGGTAAGGGGCACACCCTGCACACTGTAAAAGACTGTCACAAAGTCTAATCCTGACACTGTACACATAAAGGAACAGAAATCCAAAGAGGTGAAGAGATTCACTCAAGGTTACATAGCCATTCAATGACAAAGCACTCCAACCCACTTTTCCTCACCTGTAAAGTCCAGTTTGCTTTGCATTATAACACAGAAACCTTCCAAATTTTCAGACATACCTGCAGTGGACACTCAATACCATTTCCTGATAGTCAAGGCAGGCAAACAAAAGGCAGAATTTCATTCACTTAGTTTATTAACGATGACAATGAGCTGTTAGACCGTGCAAGAAGTACAGCAAGTGGAATTCCAGTTCAGAACATAAGTTGTACACACACAGAATATCCCTATTTAGATTTTTGCTTCTTTTATGTTAATTCAACAAAAGCTCTAAAGCCGTGGCGGGGAAATGTCAGAAACAGCCTCATTTAAGTGGAAAATACTCGCCTTCCACTCTGCTGCTATGTTTTGAATCTTGTCTCCACCTTGCAAGCAAACTGTTTTTTTTTCCCTTTATTTACAGAAAAGAACACTTCTTCCCTCCCATTTCATTCAGGAGGAACTTTCTTCAGTGCATTCAGAAGCTTCTCCCCACAATAGCAGGGGATTTTCAGATATCGATAAGTTGCAAAGTGCTTCAAAACATCCTATCATCTGCCTCTCTTCTCTACTCTCAAATAAATAAATAAATATGTATTTGGATGGTGAAAATAGCATAGTATCAGGGTCACTAAAACAGATATACAATCTAAAGGGATAGGGTGGGGGAGGTGGAGAAAAATAAGTGAAAAATCAGGAGCACGTAAGCTTACTGAGTTGATCTTTAGAAATTGTGTCAGCATTTTCTATCATTTGATCCTATGTTGCTATGAAACAGGTAAGACAACAAAGGAATACATCTCTCTTCTAGTGTAGTGACTTGGAATAAAGAGCTGAGTTTGTAATTTAAACTGAAACTGGAAATAGAGATCGCCCAATCTGGGGCCTAACCCTTAGTAAGACTTGGGTTTTATGGGGTCATTCCCAAATCTCCTTGGAGGACAAGGGAGTTTCTAGTCAGCCCTTCAAAACTGGGCTGGGCCTTGGCTTTTAGAGCTTCACAATGACCTGAAGGGAAAACAGCCTTCCAGCCTGGGTCTTCCAGCCCAAAGTAACCTTCAGTCCCAAGTTTGAGGCAGAGGAACCAACACCATGGGCAAATTCCTACATGTTTCCTCCCTGGTGGAGCCTCAGCTCTAGCTGTTATCTTTTTTTTTTCTTAAAGATGACCGGTAAGGGGATCTTAGCCCTTGACTTGGTGTTGTCAGCACCACGCTCTCCCAAGTGATCTAACCGGCCATCCCTATATAAGGATCCGAACCCGTGGCCTTGGTATTATCAGCACCACACTTTCCCAAGTGAGCCATGGCCAGCCCTCTGGTCGTTATCTTAATGCTCCTTTACTTCCTTGTGAGACTCTTTGCTACCTCCAACTCAGGCACTCATCAGCTTCCACCAACCATATGCAACTTTTTATTCAGCTTCCTGGGGCAGCACCCAAACCAATTTTTTCTTTTTCCGTCCTTTTTGAGACCGGCCGCACCGCGCTCAGCCAGTGAGCGCACTGGCCATCCCTATATAGGATCCAAACCCGCGGCGGGAGCGCTGCTGTGCTCCCAGTGCCGCACTCTCCCGAGTGCGCCACAGGCTCGGCCCCAATTTTTTTTTTTTTTTAACTAGCAACCAACTATGGGAAGACAGGTATACAGGAAGAAGTGAGTCCCAGAACAAAAACGTGGGCTCTAGTTCACAGAGCTGCCAGCCCTTGGAGAAGCAATCCTGACCATTGTTTTACATAGAGGTTAGAAGTTATAGCGACTTACAGAACACCACAAAAATACATGGTCCCATTCAAGAACTTTTCCTTTCCAAACACACATTAAAAAGGGAGGGATGTTAAAATTAGTAAAATGAAAAGAATTATTGAACATATGAATATCACCAGGCCAGATAAAGAATTAAGTGCATAATTGGCATAAAGGCTCTTGTTATCCCAAGAACAAAGGAACATTCACACTCACATCCACAAATTGTCAAGTTCTCTAACACCACTAAGAGCAAGAAGCTTTTTCCCCAACTTTGACAAAAGAACTAAGGCAGGAGATTAGCCACCAGGGAGGGCTCCAGCTCTGTTGCAGAAAGGGGAGAGAGAATGGAGTTGGGCTGTACTTTTACTCAGAACAACTATGATCATCTAACAGAGAATAGAGTAGTAAGGGACCCACTAAGATGGTGGGTGGGGTTTCTATCCTCACCTTAGGATGGCATCAGGGACTTGCCTGAGCTTGAAAGATCATACCTGCACCAGAGAACTAGGTTAACTTAAAAAGAACTTAATATCTAAGAGGAGGCCAACAGTTCCTCTAACTGAATAAATGTTGCTTAAGCAACAGAGTTAGAGCCTCACTTATGCTTGTGCTGTAAGGCTACAAATGGTCCTGGCCTAAGCATCAGTTCTGTTCTTTGCTTCAAGCTTACTGGCATAGATAAAGAAAGTCAGCCTGTGAAATTATCTAAGCCTAGACTATTTCAAACAGTGAAGTCATGGCTGCCTCCTTTAGGTCTCTGAGGATTCTAGGACGGTAATGATTCTGTTTTTATGGCCCCCAAAATATCTCAATAAGTTGGAGAGAATGTCCATGGTGTTGTCCCATTCTCTGCTGCTTCTCCTCAGGGCACAGTCTGACCCTATTCCAGGATTGGGAGAGAGAAAACTCCCCATCACCCTGTTTCAGCAGCAAAGGAGAAGAGAGTTGAGAAAGGCTTGGCTCAGAATCTGGAGAACTAAAACAAAATAAAACTGGAAATGACACTTGATATGCAGCTGAAACCAGATCTGGTCCTGGTGGAGAAAGCCATGGATGTCAGAAAAATTGGGTCTCGCTGTCTATTCCCCTGACAGAGGTACTATAAGCTTCACTTAAGACCCATATGTCGGTTTTGATGGATTAGCTGGTGCCTAAAAATTATCTGTCACAACAGACTAGACCCATCAACCTAAGAAAGGTTGACTACACATGGACATCAGACGAGTCATAAAAAATAATAATAATCTTTTAAAAAGCCCCAAGTGGGGAAAGTCCTTAAGAGGGTGGCTCAGTTCTGCATTATGTGTGACCCTAGCCCGTGGATAGAAGGCTTAGTGTGCTTTCTTCAGGTGGTCTCCAGGATGGTGGCTTCTAGGGCCAAGGCTTCAGTGGATTCCTCCTCATAGTCTGACATGTAGGACTCCAGGCTCTGCTTGGCCAGCAACTCTCTACGGGCCTGCAGCCGCTCACACCGGGGACAGCTTCCAGACTTGAAACAAGCTTTATGGTAACATGCTTTACACTCTATTCAAGTAGGGAAGGGGAGAGAGAGAAAAGAAAACAATTTGTATTACCTCAAGCTGCAAGTAAGTTGCTGCCACAGCCCACCACAGCTTGTGCTCCAGTGTTGAAACTCAGGGATTGTTGAATCAAACCAAACTCTTGCTAACAGGGGTGGCTCAACAGAGGTAAATGAGTTCTGTGTTCAGTCTTGCTTGCCCCACTCGTAGTACCACCCTCACCTTCACAGGTCCGGCATTTATGGAGCTCAAAAGGAAAGATGATGTCATCCTCATTCTGACAGAACTCACAGATGAAGCCCTTGGCTTGGCAGAGCTGGGGAAAAAAGAAACAGATAGCAAAATAAGGGCAGCACATCAGGAACTGGCACAGGAGGGTGAACACCAGTGAGAGGAGGGGCAAAATATAAATAAAAATTGAGTAGGCTAAGGTTTTGTACCTCATACAGGGAAAAAACCTGGGCTGGACTTGGAAACATAAAAGCCAGACTAGGGCCAGGGCTGGACAGTGTTAGACAAAGCTTTATGATGGAGACGAGAGGCATCATCTTGAGAAATCCCTATGACTAGAGTGGTTCTCAAAGAAGAAAAAAAAGGAGGAAGGAATGATGCCTCTAAAGTTGATATTCTAGTCTGGGTAATGATTTTATTTTGAAATAGGAACCACAGCCAATTAAGATACAATGTGAAGACAAGGATGTTTCCCCAAAATAACACCAGCCTCAAGTCAGGTTATAGTGAAGTATTTCCAGTTCCCCCAACCACACAGGATTCTCTACATACACCCCATTTTAAGCTCTAATTCTGAGACTGCCACAGGAATACAAACTGGGCATAGTTTAAGATGGGGAGTTCTAAAAATGGAATTTCTGAATTTCCAGTACGTTGAATATATTGCAAACAATAATAACTTGCATCTGTAGAATACTTAAAGTTTATAAAATATGGTCACATCAATTATTTCATGAATCCTCAAAAATACTGAGAAGAAAGGACAGTGTGTAAAATTATCATCTTCATTTTAGAGATAAGAAAATTGAGGCTTTATGTCAGAGTGGGCAAATTATTTCTTTTGGTCATGGTGATTGAAAATAATAAAGCCGGGCCAGCCCAGTGGTGCACTGCTACAGTGCGCCGCTTGGGAGTGCGGCGGCGCTCCCGCCGAGGGTTCGGATCCCACATACAGACCAGCCGCTCACTGGCTGAGCGAGGTGCGGGCGCAACACCGAGGGTTGCGATCCCATTGCCGGTCCCGGCCCGGTACGGGTGCGACACTGAGGGTTGCGATCCGTTGCCGGTCACGAAAAAAAAGACAAAAAGGAAAAAAAAAAAAAAAAGAAAATAATAAAGCCAAGACCAAGGTTAGAATCCCTCTCCAGATTCTAATCCAGGGTTCTCTTCCCACACTATGACAATTCTTTAGTGAAGGCCTGCTCAGTCCTGCTCGGAGCTACCTGTGGGGAATGCCAGTATAACTTTCTTTTCTAATTCTAGGTTCCTTAGATCTGGATGATTTAGTCATTCACCAACCTAAGGAACAGCAACCCTTTCCAGTTTTTCTCACACTATTGACTAGCCATTTCAACCTCCTGGAGCCAAGTGGCAAGAACCTTGGGTCCACCCCACTTCTCGTATTCCTAAGCAAGGACTCAACTGCATGCTAAAGCAAGACTTTCTCACCATGCATTGCTCTACATGGGCAGCCCCTGTCCTGGTGAGCTCAGCAAGCCGGGGCCCCAGCTCCCCCTTCCTGGTTGCAGCCAGGTCATTCAGTGAGTACAAGTGGAGATCTTCTGTCAGGTGGCCTGGGACTGTGTCAAAGGAATCCAGAAGCCTACAGGAAATGACAGGAAGCAGGTGGAAGGAGATAATGAACACTTTGTGTGGCACATCGTAGTAGATAGATCCTTATCCAAAAGCAAGAGAAATAAGGTAACGAAGGTGAGCAACATTCAGCCAGCCCAGGTATTTCAGGCCACACCAGTCATCCCACACTACTGGCTGGCTGGGTTTACCATTTTCACACATTTCTGCAAAATTCCCCTACTCCCCTACTCTCTTTCATATAACAAGAGCCAACTATTGGGACATGTCCCTTTCAGAGACATTAACTCAGTCAGAGTACTCTGGCCTCCACCCAAGACTTACTCTCTTTTTATTGTTGTTGTTTTTGGGGTTTTTTTTAGTGGCTGGCTGGAACAGGGATCTGAACCCTTGTTCTTGGTGTTATAAAACTGCACTCTAACCACCTTAGCTAACTGGCCAGCTGGTAAGACTTACTCTTTGGCCAGTCGGCATGTCTTGAACATGTTCTTCATGTGATACAGCTGGACCCGCAACAGCTGAAAAGAAAGACATTGGGTGGGGGATGGCAGTTGTGGGGGTGCATGTGGAGAAGAAGAGAGAATTGACTGTTAGACAGACCAGTGACTTTAAACCCTGGGGATCTGGAAGCCAGAGTCCAACTGTCCTCTACACCTCTAACTCAACCTGCTTTTAAGTAATCTCCAGCCAGGGAAGGCCGTTCTGCCAGGTCAGTCTGCCCAAATCACACACACAACTGAGAGCAGCTGAGAACTTTTTTTTTTTTTTTTTTTTTTTAAGACGACCGGTAAGGGGATCTTAACCCTTGACTTGGTGTTGTCAGCACCACGCTCACCCAGTGAGCAAACCGGCCATCCCTATATGGGATCTGAACCCGTGGCCTTGGTGTTATCAGCACCGCAGTCTCCCGAGTGAGCCACAGGCTGGGCCCGAGCAGCTGAGAACTTTGGACTGTGAATTTCCCACTTGATACCCTATTCCCCACTCAGTGATATTTTCAGTGAAGGGAGAAATTCTGCTTTTGCCATCAAGAGCAATCTATAGCTTCAGAGTTTCCATTGCCAGGTTTGAGGATCTGACTAGACAGATACCTGGGAAATGGGAAGATATTAAGAAAGTACATAGAGCATAGATGATGAGATAGTTATGGCTCTGACACTGTGACGAGAAGTGTAGTGATCTTGGGAAATACTGTATGAACAGAGGAGGGTTGAGGGGAGGAGAAGGGTAAGAATCTAGGATGTGGCCTTTTCAAGGGTCTTACTCGGACTTGATTGAGCAGCTTGACCTTCCTATAGAGAGCGCTGTTGATGTCCTGCACATTGAAGAGAGGATCATTCCAGATCTTAATGAGCAGGTCCTTGGAGAAATTGCTGACATAGTACTTGCTAAAATCCCACTTGCGTAGAATCCGACTGGGGATAACCATCTGGGCATTCTCATGGCAGCACTGACAGAAGTACTTGCCCAAATACTCACAGTACCGCAGCCGCTTGATATAATCTGGAAAAACCAGAAAGCCAAAAGGATAGATGTGACTGTCTTTCCCATCTACAAGCTGGTGAGACAGCTCTGTGTTTCCCTAAAAGGGTGGAAAGGGATGGCCAGTGGCCTTTGGCCACCTCTGTTTGAGCTCCCCATAGCTGGCAGAAACCCACCTAGTGCAGCCAGTGATTCCTATGTCCCATCCTGGAAGCAACAGAGGAAACAAAACCTGCCAGAGTTGATAAGACCCAGCCTCCAAGAACCTAGCTGAAACTACCCAATTTTCTCCAGTACACAATCCTGATAATGTGCTCCCAGAAATAATTTCCCTCTGATTGCCAGTGCTCTTGCCTAGTCCTACCCCTTCCCTCCAGGACCCTTCTTTCCCTTCCTCCAATTCTGCCCTGTCACCTCCTCATACTACCTCTAACAGGTTCCATCTCTCCTAAGTGTGGGAGAGAGTAAAGCCCTTGGAGGCAGTATGATGGTAGGAAAGGATACTCACCAGGATCAGTCCGGATGCCACATCCTGCACAGCGGTAATTCTGCTTGGCCACAGCAATTTTCCTCCTAAGGAAAGGGGAAGGAGAGGGGATTGGCAGATAGCAGCTGCATGAGACAGACAGTAGCTGCATGAGGCCTCTGGGTGCAAAAGATGAAGATACAAACACAGAGCTCTTGTTAACTATGGGAAGAGAGGAAAATTCACCTATTTTTTCAGAGTTGGACAAAATGAACCTATTAGGAGAACTAACCTGAGGATTATAAGGTTAGGATTTAGGTGTAGGCAGTGACTGTCCCCAATAATGAACTACACATTCTGTACAAATGTAAGGGATGGAAAATAATAAAGAGGAGAGAACAAAAGGAGAGAAAAGCATCCATCTCTCTTAAAAAGAGGAAACCAATAAGCTCACAAAACCACTGGAAGTCAATAGGTTGGAAAGGCCAATGAAAAAAGACCTCATTTCCAGTTAGCTCTGGGGAAGAATGGGGAGGATTAAAAGTAAGAAATTAAGGAAAAAATAGATAATCCTTTCCCTCTGCCTTTAAATGAACAAAATTGTATGGGAGGTACAGCTGGAGGCAGAGACTAGAGGTGAGGAGACAGCCCTGATATCGAAAGAGGATGTATTCATTTTCCAAAGGGCACAGACACTGGTTACTCACGTTGGAGCTGGATGAACATTAAAAATTATCTGAGGCCGGGGTGGGGCCCACTCTAGGTTGCCACGAACACGAATACGCAGCTTATAGATGTCAGCATGCTGCCCATCATCTGGTGAGATAGGCAGTGAATCAGGGATGGGCAGGAGCTGCAGAAGAAAAGCACAGGTCAAGATAACATGGACAGTGTGGGGGAACACATATCCTTGACCCTTCTGGCCATGACAGAAGCATAGTTAATGAAAGACATTCCAGGAATACCACAGGGTAAGGACTTCAGAGAACCTTAGCCCTCAAAACAAACCAGAAGGCACCAGGGAACTAGAAGTGAGGACCTTGGGTTCCAAGAAGCAAATAGAAACAGCATCCCAGGGTGGTGGCATCTATTGCTGATGCTGTCCCTGCACTCAACCCAGGACCCACGGCATGCCAGGGTGCTGTGTGCCTTAAAGACTCAGCTGCAGAGCAAAGAAGAGTCTGAACAATTCACTTTTTCATAATGTCTCAAAAGTGATCTCAAAAAAAAAGAGTTCTACTTCTGGGTCTAGTGGAATAAGGACAGTTAAATAGCTATTATTTCCTGTTCTGACAATTGCTAGTGGAAACCTAGGCAAGCAAGCATTCACTCATGCATTTATTCATTCAACACATTTGTAATGAATGACTTCTATGAGTAGAAAAGGAAACACACAGGCTCATTCCAGACTGGGGACATGTGACAAAGGAGAACAAAATCAGAAAGCCTCACAGCCTCCAGGGTAGGGATGAAAAGCTGAAGAGCTTACCTTCTGAGGAGCATCATGCTCTGGGACTAGCCACTCTAGCTCTGAGGCAGCTGGAAGCTGCATCCCCTCAAATTGCTTCAGAAGCCCCATGGCCACTGCCTCAGCAGATGTGGAGTGCAGGAAGCAGTGGGAGCTGAAAAGGAGAGAATCAAGGAAAGCTGAGCATAGGAAAAAGACAGAAGATGGAAACCTTCCCTTCAGGGTCTGATACCATAGGCATGAACTGCTGGGCTGAGAGAATACTCGCAGCACCCCCAGTCCACTCAGTTTCTTTTCTCATCATCTTCACACACACTGTAGCACTATGGCTAATACTGGAATCCTGCCGACGTCACCAATTGTAGCACTCTTAATCTTGTTCATGATGCCAATTGTAAAGCTACACGACCACACCAGTTGTTGGGCTCTTTTACCTGCTGGTAATCCTGCCCCAACTGGGCCAACTGTTGAGCTAGGGCTGGGTCTGGAGCTCACAGACCCCTCAAGCCTGTCCCAGACTTGGTCACAAACCCTTCATATGCCAGGCTGGGTCACCAGACCCCTCACATGCTAGGCTGGGTTACCAGACCCTTTACACACAGGTCTATGAGCTAGGTAACCAGTAAACAGGTCCCTGGAAGCCACAGATTGGAAAGCATGGCTGCACACGTGGTGGCCACCCTAGGCAGTCACCAGAGGCAGTCGCCAGTCAAGATAGCAGCACCACATAGGTGCACTAACTCCACCCACACACAACCTATTCACAGCAAACGCTCGGCAAGTTTCTGAACATCTGAGGGGCCCTGGCCATTTTCCTGTATTTTCCAACACGTGTACAGTGAAAAGTATACTGGCCTACAATTCTAAGATTTAGGTTCAAATCCCACTAGCATTACATGGCACTGCTAGTTAAGAACTCTGTCACTTCCTTTCCTTAAATTTCAGTTTGTTTAACTAGAAAATGGAGATCATGAAGCCTGTTCACAAAATAAAGTGAGTAAAACTGCTTGCAGACTATAAAGGGCTATTGTTCTTCCCAAATGAGCTACTATTACTCCTAGTTGGGTCTACAATGTGGAACATGTTCCAAAAATCCTGATCACTGCTCTCTCTTTTCAGAACTGTTGTTCTGGGGCCCCTAGTTATGATCAGAGACAGCAGAGAAGGAACAATTCACATTGTGAGCTTTGCCTCCACGAAAGCCCACCCCATCTGGACCAAAGATCTCCTCTCTTCCCTTGGGCTTGCCACCATCAGGCAGGCCCAACACTTTAACCTTGCCTCCTCATGAATTTGGATGGCTTTACCCATGGCCTTTCCCATCCGTATGTCAAGAATTAGGTTTGTTTCTCCACATACCTCAAGGTTTTATTAAAAAAGAAAAAAGTACTCACAAGGACTGGGAGGAAATGAACAATTTGCCGCTTGAGGCTGTGCTCCTTCTGATGTCAGCATCTAAATGGAAACCAGAGGTAAGAGGAGAGTGATATGGTAAGAGAGGAGGTAAGGGGGCCGGCCTGTGGCTCACTCAGTAGAGTGCGGTGCTGATAACACCAAGGCCATGGGTTCGGATCCCATATAGGGATGGCCGGTTAGCTCACTGGCTGAGCGTGGTGCTGACAACACCAAGTCAAGGGTTAAGATCCCCTTACTGGTCATCTTTAAAAAAAAAAAAAAAAAAAAGAGAGGAGGTAAGGGATAATGGAAATCACTGTGAGATATTGCCAGCTAAGCACTCAGGGTAGCAGCTACGTGCACATTCTGTGCAGGATAAGGAGCAGGTGAAGCTCTAAACACAAAAACTTCTAATTTGGCTTTATTCAAGTCACAACCAGGCAAATTAGTGACATTATGCACAGCACTGAGAAGGTCAAAGTGGTTACAAATCCAGGTAGAAACACAAATTAATTCAGATTTGGTGTAAAACAGTGAATAAGAAAAGGAAGCATCCTAAGGCACAGAGGGACATAACCCCTAGCAAGCAGAAACACAAAGTAAATGAATTGAAGCTCTCCCTCATTCTTTAAATCTCAAGCTTTTTTTCTTTTTTTTCTTTTTTTTTTGAAAGATGACCGGTAAGGGGATCTTAACCCTTGACTTGGTGTTGTCAGCACCACGCTCAGCCAGTGAGCGAACCGGCCATCCCTATGTGGGATCCGAACCCAGGGCCTTGGTGTTATTAGCACCGCACTCTACCGAGTGAGCCACGGGCCGGCCCTCTTTTTTTCTTTTTAAAGATGACTGGTAAGAGGATCTTAACCCTTGACTTTGCGTTGTCAGCACCACGCTCTCCCAAGTGAGCTAACCAGCCATCTCTATATAAGGATCTGAACCTGTGGCCTTGGTGTTATCAGCACCACACTCTCCCAAGTGAGCCACGGGCTGGCCCTTCAGGCTTTCTTAAATGGTAAGCTCTCAAGGCCAGCCCCATGGCGCACTCGGGAGAGTGCCGCGCTGGGAGTGCAGCGAAGCTCCTGCCATGGGTTCGGATCCTATATAGGAATGGCTGGTGCGCTCACTGGCTGAGCGCGGTGTGGGTGACACCACACCAAGGGTTGTGATCCCCTTACCAGTCACGAAAAAAACAAAAAAAAAAAAAAAAAAGGTAAGCTCTCAGAGGTAAAAACTCTGTCTGGCTCTTTTTTTTTTTTTTTTTTCCTTTTTGTCTTTTTTTTTTTCCGTGACCAGTAACGGGATCGCAACCCTCAGTGTCGCGCCCGCACCACGCTCAACCAGTGAGCAGACCGGTCTCTGTATGGGATCCGAACCCTCGGCGGGAGCGCCGCCGCACTCCCAAGCGCCGCACTACCGAGTGCGCCACCGGGCCGGCCCATGGGCTCTTTTTTTTAAACATAAGAATTAGTACCTAAGACAGAACTTGGATTGCAGAGGTTCTTATTAAATGTATGTGGAATTGAAACTTTACTTCTAGCATCTCTCCACTATTGCTATTACGTCCAAACGTCAGAATTTTTCTCTATCCTTAAAAAAGCTTCACGGAAAAATTTCCTTCCTTTCTGGTGGCACAGGGAGTGTGAAGGTTAATTCCAGGTGTCAACTTGGTTAGATGAAGGAATGCTGAGAAAGCTGGTAAAGCTATCTTTTTAGGTGTGTCCATGAGGGTGTTTCTAGCAGAGATTAGTATGAGTGTCTGAGTGGACTGGGTGGGAAAGACCCACCCACATTGAACCATCTAATCCGCTGGGGGTCCGGAGAGAACAAAAGACAGGAAAAAGAGGTGAAGCTGTCTCTCAATCTGCTGGAGCTAGGATACACTCTTCTCTCCTGTCTGTGGACATCAGAGCTCGAGACTCTTCAGCTTTTGGGTTCCAGAACTTACACCAAGGACACCATCAGCTTCCCTGGTTTTGAGGCCTTTGGACTTGGACTGAGCCACACTACCTGCATCCAGTTTATAGACAGCCTATCATGGGACTTTTCTTCATAGTCACATGAACTAATTCCCCTAACAAATCCCTCTCATATAATTGTAACATATCCTATTGATTCTGTCTCTCTGGAGAACCCTGACTAATACAGGGAGGCAAAAAACTTCTCTATGGCTTGGTGACTCTCTGGAGATGCCGGGTAACCAACAAATTTTCACAGAGATGGTCAACATTATCTTTACTGCAGAACTCTTAGGCATAATTACAGGAAACTATGGCAGACTTTCTAAAGCCTATTTCTGAAAGATTTTGAAGAAGATTTCTAATAATGATATGCTCAAACATCCAGAAACCTCATCTACCCAAATATTTTTGATGGGAGGGAATGTGAAATACAGCAGTCATGTTCAAGAAAGGCAGATAGAACCTATCCAAGTTATGAAAACGAGACTGTTTTGGTAAATCCCATCTCTCACTTCCTTCAATGCTTAGTGAAAAGATCTCTTCTTCCTAATTAAGCCTACCTGATGATCAATCTACTGTAGTGTCTGATCCCCTAAATAGAGCAAAGCTTATATGACATCACTCTGCACTTGGCCATGAGTACCTCAACTGTTCCTCATATGTTTCCTCTGTATATAGATTATTTTGTATTTACAACTAGATTATAAAGTCTTCTTGTGAGGAAATGAGGTTGTGTCTGATTCTTCTTTTGGCCCTAAAAGAGTTAACACAAGGCTCTGAATACAAGCATATACTTAAATAATACTGTTGACAAACCAAAGTCTCCAATCTATATACACAAGTAAATTAACCATTGAAACCTGTTGATTTTCATATACTTTCTAAGCACAGAAAAATAAGACATCAACAAAAATTTTGCTGATAATTAACAAAGTCCATTTTGTTTAACAACAAAGATGTTCATGTACATATTTTGTCTGCCAACAAAATCCAGATCCCAATGCACTGCTAATTGTCTATTTCCAGTCTAATTAGTGCTAGTGGAGAAACGGAAAAAAGTCTAGGTAATAGTAGACCATACTTTCATAGACCATTTGGTTTGCAACATTTATTTATTTTTTAAAAGATGACCGGTAAGGGGATCTCAACCCTTGGCTTGGTGTTGTCAGCACCATGCTCAGCCAGTGAGCAAACCGGCCATCCCTATATAGGATCCAAACTCGTGGCCTTGGTGTTATCAGCACTGCACTCTACCGAGTGAGTCACGGGCCGGCCTTGCAACATTTATTTGGGTAACACTTCTACTGTCTTGGATTGTACATAAGTCTTGCCTTGTCCTACTAACCCTCAGAATGCTTTGCACATAATAGGTTTTCAGAAAATATTTCCTAAATGAATGATTAATTGGCTAAAAGCAATTAAAAGCTTTTGCAAATTTCATCCTGTTTTGGAGTAATAGAGAAGGAAAAATGAGAGAAAATCTTCAACAGATATCCCTGAACAAGGAGCTAAACAATCTTGTTACTTTGGGACCAGGCTATTAAAGTAAACACTACACACCAGAGAGAAGAAGTGGTTGATAATTCACGGTTGCTAAGGAAACCACTATCTTCATAAAAACTATTTAGCAGTTCCTCATCCTCACAGAGAGGAACTCTTTTATTTTTTTCTTTGAAAGAAAAAATCATTCTCCTCTCTTTAGAAAATATAATCAAGGTATACTTCATCATGTTTCTTCCTCTTTTTTTACCAGCGGTACAGTGGGGTCAGAGGTACATGGCAGGGACTTCCTAGTGAATCATGAATACTTCCAAGAGTGTGGAGGACCACACTGCTTTGGAGGTAAGGATCCTATCCCATGGGGCGAGGGGAAGAAGTAGCACCTGATACCAAAGGAGACACGACTCCTGACACTAGTTAAGTACCATAAGGCTCTATGGGCACTGGGTCTGTGCTACATCCTGCTGACTCTGGTCAGTTCAAGCAGATGACAGTTGATGTGGCTGGAATGCAAGTTAAGGATCCAGATAAAAGCAGACCATGGTCTAAGACAAATAAGGAGTAAAGAGAGAGGAGAAAGCTATTCAACTAGGTGGATTAAATGTATTCCAAATGACAGCACTTAAGAAAGAAGTCTGAAAAATACACCTTCCAAGTGGTATTTAACATAATTATAAAACTTTTTATTGATAGCAGTGAACCATGAACCTTAGCAACTATGAATTATAACAATGAAACAAGGATGTGTTATAAGGAGAAGAATATGCTGTATGTCCAGACACTGGTATTGGTATGATCAGGGAAGAATTGGTTAAAACCTTCATACCATGGCAAAATCTGCAAATTTGTGAACAAAATAGATGAGGCACAGGAAGAGTCAACTTCAGAATTTACTGGCCAGTGTGATGGTAGATTCCATCCTGCTTTTCTTTGAGAGGCAAGGTGATACACAACACATCTGAGAATCTAACTCCAGTAAATTTTCTGTAACTGCTGACTCAAAAAGAAACATTAAAATAGATAAAAAATATTTTTCTTTTAAAAAGAGAAAAGTTTTGATTAAAAAGGGAGAGCGGAGAAGCAACTGATTACCTTGAATTAGGTATAATTTTAAAACTTTTCAAAAAATATAATTCATGAACTTTCCTCTTTATATATTATGCCAGCTATCAATTTATTGGCTTCCAGCTCCAAATCTCCCCCTTTATTTGCTTGCTCTGAGATAATGGAGCTGGACCCATAAATATTTCTCCTGTGCTGGCATGATGTTAAGCTTTGTCAGTAGAGGGCACTGGAGGGACACTGGAAGAGGAAGGGGTTTCTCTTGCTGGTTCTGGTGTGCTCCTCTAGGCTGCCTCCTGCAGTACATGTGATCTCAGGGAAAACATGCCATGGGTGGCTTTGCAGCACAGTGTCACTATTGGCACCTCCAATAAATGGCTTCTCTTGGCACCTCTTGGGAGAGCTTACTGGGAGAGCTTTACAATTGCCACTGCTTTTTCCAGTACCCTTTGAATTCTGAGATACAGCACCCCTCTGGGGGCAGCCTTTCCCAGCAACCCAGAGAATGGTTTCCCAGCAAGGACTGTTGGCATGGCACTTCCCCACGGAAAGCATCCCCAGGCACTACCTCAGGGCAGCCCTGCAGCTTCAGAGAATTTCTCCGCCATCCAATGAGCCAGGTGGGCCAGATCTCAGCCTTGGGGATATGACCCTCCTTTACATTTGTTCCTTCCCCAGCTGCTCTATCTCAGCCCTAGGGACAGTGACTGCTGCCTATAGCTGCTCCTCCTGTGTTGTTTGGAGTTCTCTTTACTCCTTATGAGCCAATCTCCCATTACTTCAATCTCCCATTATAGTTAATAATTCTTTATATTAAAGTTTCCCTATTCAAATTATTGTGTGGCTTCTATCTATCTCCTGATTAGACCCTGACTAGATATATATACACATAAGACTGAAATTCTAGAAGAATCTACAAAGGAAGATAAAGAAGAACTGATGACGCTATAATCAAAGAAGCTGAAAAAGGAAAAAACAAACCGAGAGCAACAAAACCCTAAAACCAAAGAAGTTGAAAAGACTGTCTGGGATTAGAGTTTACAAATGATATCAAACCGATTTGGGAGACACCATCAGCAGAAATAGATGAGGTGAAAGAAGGCATACACAAAAGATCACATGTCACATATTATACCATTTATATGCAACGTCCAGAAAAGACAAATCTATAGAGACAGAAAGTAGATTAGCAGTTGACTGAGGCTGGGAATGAGAACAGGAATTAACTGTAAATGGCCACAAGGGGTGATAAAAACGTTCTAAAAGTAGATTACGGTCATGGCTGCACAAGTCAGTGAATTTACTAAAAATCACAGACTTATACACTTGAAGTGGGTGAATCTGATATGTAAAGGTGTTAAACCTGTCATGTGTATAAAAATTTTAAAGCTCCCAAAGTGGGGGGGAGAAAGACCAAATAAAGATATGCCTTAAATTAATCTTCCTTAAAACAGACTGAATGTGCTCTGATGGAGAAGTGGCTGACAATCAATAAATGCACCAGCAAAGGATTGTGATCATAAACAAACACATTAGAAACCAGTTTAAAAGTGACTTAGGAAAAGCAGGGAAGACTAATGTTAGAATCAACTAAAACAGTTCAGAGTAGAGAAAAGGGGACCTAACTGCTTTTATTTTTCTAAATCTTTTTCTAATCTTATACACTTATTTGAAATTATAGTGGCTGACAATGTTAACAGTCATAAATTAACTGTTTAACAAAAAGTTCTGAGTTTGTTGTTGTTTGTGTTTTAAAGCCATTTTGTATAGAAAACTGCTACTTTATTTCAGTTAACCCCACCTACTGAAAGCCTATTTGTGTAGATCACAAAGTGATTACTCAGGCCAAACATTTGTAGCAGTAAATCGTAATTGTATATGAAGTATCTACAAGAGATAGTTTTCTGACAGTTGGCTCTGAAAATTCAAAACTCTAAAGAAACATTTAGCTTCATACCATTTTATCCTACCTTTGCTGTCTGGAATGTGTGGCAATCACTTAGCTACAGGTTTGAACTAAAATTCTTCATTGACCATTCCTCTCTAAACTGTCTTCTACCTCCATCAGTCACAACGACCACTTAATCTGAAAATATCACTGTAGAGAAAGATCAACAAGGACAAACTCATTGAGGAGGATTGTTGAGGTCATATGAGGAAGAATATCTGAATATTTGAATAATCCTGGCTTGTTGTTCTGGCTCAAATCCGGTTTTTTCCAACTAGTTTTCCAGACCTTGTGGTCCTCGTAACCTTAACAGGTATCACAAGATCAAGTATATGCAAAAGCTTGTGCAAACATTCACGCACATGCATGTATGAGCATATCCATGCTTCCAGCATAGGCTACCTGAGAACATCAAGGCCACTGACACTGAGAGTCCATTCTTTGACATGTGAGTCAGGTTAGATCCTTCATTACCATCTGTGTAATAATGATTACAAAAGGGGGCCCTTTAGTATTCTGACAGAAAATAAATTGATGAGAATGAGTTCTATACCACATGTTCCTGGGATCAGGACTGGACTTTTGCTACAAAAGATAAAATGGCTTTTCAAAACTTACAGGTAGGTGCTCACTACAGCTCACAAGACAGTTATTGCTACTTCGCCACACCAGCCTAGCCTCAAGGACCTCCTAAGGAAGTGGTTCTCAACCAGGGGTGATTTTGACAATGCCATGGAAACATTTTTTATTGTCTTGATTGGGGAAAATGGTACTACTGGCATCTAGTGGGTAGAGACCAGGGATGATGCTAAACACTTTAAAATGCACAAGACAATCCCTCACAACAAAGAATTATCTGGCTAGAGGTTGAAAACCCTTTTCCTTTAAGGATTTCTGTTCTAAACTGACTAGAGAATTAGTTGATTAAACATCTCCCTGGGGCTCACAACTGCAGCAACAGTTTCAAACAGGAGTGTACTTTGTGCCTTTCCCTAGGCAGCTCTTTCCAGACCAAACAGATTTCTCTGGCTCCCTGCTTTGCTGCAGGGAACAGTTTTAGGAGTCAAGTAAACTGCTCTACACCCAGTAAAGCAGCATGTTCTGAATTTACCTTAATATTACCCTCATGAAATTCTGACCACTGATCCTGGATATCAGTGCAGAACCCTCTTATTTTCTCCTAATTTGGAAATTAAGTTAATCACAGACTGTAATATAATAAAAAATATATGTATTTGGTCTTTGTTTCCCATTCCTGGCACAGAGTTCCTAAAACCCTTGGAATTTCCTAAGTGTCTGTTATTATTGAAGGGAGCCCCTTTCAATCATACCTGACAGTATGCTAACAATGTGACTCGTGGCAGGACCCTAGATAGCTTCATAATAGAGGCTGGCCACCAGAAGAACCAACCACATGATTAGAGGGTTGAAACTTTCACTCCCCCTACACCTCCAGAGGGGAAGAAGAACTGAAGATTGAGTTCAATTACCAATGGCCAATTAATCATGCCTGCATAATGAAACTTCAATAAAAAACTTGGAATGACAAGGTTTAGGGGAGCTTCCTGGTTGGTGAACATATCAATGTAACGGGAGGGTGGTGCACCCTGACTCCAGGGACAGAGGTTCCTGCGCTCAGTACTCTTCAGGACTTCATCCTATGTACCTCTTCATGTTGCTGTTTATTTATATCCTTTATAATAAACTATAATCATAAGTATAGTGCTTTCCTAAGTTCTATGAGTCTTTCTAGTGGATTATCAAACTGTAGGAAGGAGGATCAGGGGAACCCCTAGATTTGGAGTCAGCCAAGCAGAAGTGCAGGTGGCCTGGTGGCTCCACTTGCATCTGGCATCTGAAGTGGGAGCAATCTCGTAGAACACAGCCTTAATCTATGGGGTCTGTGCTAACTCCAGGTAGTTAGTGTCAGAATTGAATTGTATGACACCCAGATGGTATTGGAGAATTGGAGAATTGTTGGAAAACCACATACAAACATAGAAAAAAATGGAGTTTTAAGCGATTACCTATTATTGTCATGAATAGAAATGAGGTACATTAAGGACAACACAGAAGGAAGACTTCCTGGAGAACTGGAAATTATGTATAAAAACTGAATTTCTGAATGGGGAAGAAATCTGCCTACTACATCTGGAGGTCTGTGTAGGTGAATGGGTTCTCTAGATTGGTATAAACAGGAAATCAGAGACTCACGCAATAAAAGATCTATTCATCATCATGTTATAATGGAGAATTATAAATTTCCTTACTCTGTAAGGAAATTACTCTTAGTTTCACCAATAGGGGAAGAGTTTATGTCCCTGAACTGGTTTTTTTGTCTGTCTGTCTGTTTCACTGATGGGAACATGAAAAAAATCTATGATTTGCAGGAATGGGACATTAATCTGATTTAACACAATTGCCTTCCCAGATTGGAACCCCTCCCCTTCTCTATGCATACTTCCAACAACAAAAACAACAATAACAACAACAAAAAGAGTCTGTGATTCTGCTAAGCAAGTTAGCACTGGTAGGACTAAAATTAAAGTTCTACTTTGTAAACTTGATTTTTTTTTTCCCCTTTTCTGCTTTTGCCACTCCCCTCCCCATGATTCTTTTTGTCCTTTTCTATTAGGATTATAACAAAACTTTGAAACAATTTCAGTTGTTTAATGAAGCACAAGAGAATAGATTCTAATTTCCTGTGGTATGAGCTAGCCCTAGGAGCTAGGAGAAATCAGGGCAAGAATCCAAGAGAAAGATGCACTTGAGGAAGAAGCATCAGGGTGACTTCAATAGCCAGCCTACTCCACCTGGAACACTTCCTTTCAGGGTTCTTTTCTGCTTAAATTTTAAAGGGGTTTTGTTTTTAGCTAGACAGGCCATCCCTTACAATAGCTGACAACATTCATATGGACCATAGTGAAGATCTACTTAAAAAATCTTCTCAGCCTGATTCCAAATTGAAAGAAACAGGTAATGAAGCCTCTTTTGTTACACAGCATCATTTCTTACCGTGGATTTCAAATTCATCAACCTCATCAGCAGAGCCAGAGTCAGAGAACTGTGCTGAATCACGTGAACTTAACTGGGAGCTGCTAGAGGTGACCCGAAAGCCTGTTATGTTTAAAAAATAAAAAAAGAAAAGGTAATGAACAGGACAGAAAGCAGTCTCCAACTGCTTCTAGTGTCACAATAAAAGGGACGTGGTATGACTTCAACAGAGAGAAGTAAATAGAACCTTAACTGGGAATGATGCTATTGAAAGAAAAACTAACTCTTCTTGCTGGTCTATCCCCTTAGAAATTTTCATGTAAATAGAGGATACTACTACCTGGGAAGCAAACTTGGAACCAGTGGTCTTAGTTCTCATATCAGAAACCTATTCTGGAAGGAAGTATTTCTGATGTAGGAAATGGACAAACTCTAGGATGAGTACTACCAGTTTGGTAGAAAAAAAATACAGAAATATCTTTCTTACAGCAGAAGAATCCTTGGCTTGAGTATAACATTCCAAATGAAGACCAGAAAGAAAGCCCACGAAGCACTGAGCCTTATCCTGAAACTGCAAAGAAGCAGGAACAGAGGTGTTCACAGGCCTTACTCACTTCCATGCTCAGTCTCCTCGTACATGGGGAGCAGATTCCTGGTGCGGATCTGCTGGCGCCGAAGGCGGATCTTCTGCTTCAGTTCCTGAATCTCTCTATCACTGTCCTCTTCCTCTACTTCCTCCTCTTCCAGGCACTGGTTCATCATGTTGCACTTCATTAGTTCAATGGCAGCAATCAAGGACTCTGAGATGCTGAAGTGGGCATTCTCCTGGGGAAGGAGAGCACCAAAGAAGTTGCTCGGGGAGGGGCTGGAAATATTGAATGCCTCATAGATTAAAATGTCGGAAAATGGAGCTTGTAAGACATGCACTGCTTTAATGAAAATACCCAGGGGAAACGCACACTTCTACTATAAGGAAAGCTGGTAGCTAGAAAACCTGTCCTAGATTCTCTTTGCTCTCTTACCTGGACATAACTGTTCCCTCTCGTCCCACTTTCTACATAAAAATATGACAGAGAAGAGACCCAGAATTTTAATCAGGCTCCTTCCCAAAGTCATACACCTGTATACGAAGTATTAAAATAAATGTAATGTCTCAAGATATAAGTGCTTTGTAAGCTATAAAATGCTACACGGACAGTATTTATTACATATCTGAACTTTAAAACAAAATATAGAAGTTGATTCTGAAAACAGTATTTACCTAAGGTTCCAGGGTCAAGGGAACAACAATCATAGAGCTAAAATTCAATGTTTCTCTATCCAGGCTAGATTCTAAGATAAAATCGCTAATATTTGGGACTCAATGAGGAACACAAGCTCCCTGAAGAGTTTCCCAGAAATAAAACTTGCTGAGCTAATCTTTACCATGAACTTATCTTTACTGTAGTCTACACCCACTTACTGCTGTGTACCAGAAACCTCATTAGAACAAATGGCACCACAGAACCTCAGGCCAGATCTTCCAACTCATGAGCTCTTCATTAGACCCTTAGATTTATCACCTTTTCCAGATCTGCACAGCTGCCAAAGTCTTGCTCAGAGAGGTAGCTGATGAGGGACTGTCCTTCTGATGGTCTTCGGAACATGCCTTCCCCGGAACATAGGTACTGACTACCCTCTGTGGGAAAATAGAATGTGGATGTAAAAAGCTCTGACTTCTTTGAGAAATCTGAAGATTTTACCACTAAAGATGCTCCTAAGTCTCCCCAGGTAACAAGGAATTACAGGTTAGAAAGAAGATTTCTACCATCTAGAAGAATTCCTTGGACTCTTAAAATCCCAGAGCACTAAGCCTCTTGGTTGGAGAATGGTGGAATAAATGGAGAGATCCCAGAGACAATCCCTTTACCATCTAGACTTAAAGATGACATACTCTCTTCCTACCCCACAAAAAATAAATAAATAAAATAAAATGTTAAAATCCTGTGCTGAGAGTCAGAAAAAGACCCAAAGAGCTTCATCCTATGCATGATTTCCATGTGAAGCTTGTCTTCTGATAATTAGGCCCAGATATTAAAAGGCCTTTTTCAGGATTCCTCTCACCCACTCAGAGAGCCATCCCACCTGGATCATTAGACATACACAGTGATAATATACCCATAGCATAAGAGAGGGTGGGACCCCTGAGTCAGAAAGAAGCAACAGAAATGGTGGGCAGGTGTGATTTCTAGCACAGGGGTTAAAAATAACGAATGGGCGGGTGAAACTATACAGTGTGCACCCTCCACAGAGCTGAGATAAGCCCCAAAGCTCAAAGCATAGCAGGCACAATGGGAGAGTAGAGAAAAAATATGATTTCAGCTCTTGCCTTCCTAACACTTACCATATTCCATGTACAGAGAGCTGGGTGTGCTGACTTCACTGCTTTGGCCAGAGTAGGGCAAGGAGCCTCTCAACTTCAATTTATCATTGCAGGATTCTAGTATCAGTGACCACCAGGGATTAAAAACACACATACAAAGTGAGCAACAGATACATTCTCAACTTTAGAGTTTCAACATTTAACTGCGCCCATTCCCAAAGCCTTCCCAAACAGGAGAAAGGTGGCACACCAACAGGGAACAGTCCAAGAATACAGGAATACACGGAGGAAAGGATATGGGAAGTCAGTATATTCTAGATGGAAAGAAAACACATAAGCCAGAATGGAGCAACACAAAGGTGAAAAAGAATCAAATCAATATGCATTCATGAATTTAGTTGTCTTTTCTTCCATCTTCTAAGTAAATGTTACAGGAACATCAGCCAATTTCTATACTCTTGACAAACCAATTTTCAAATCTGAAAACTATTTTCAGATTCTAAAACAAAGACAAGTACACTGAAACTTTTCTGATACCTTGACACTAGGTTTTAAAACAATATCAAAAGGTGTACATTCACAAAGGAAACAAAATAAAATCCAGCAATTTCCTTAACAATGTCCTTAACATCAAGGCAACGCCGGAGAACTCAAGGATGATGGCCTTGTAATCAAAGGGCTCAGTCAGAGGGCTGTGGGCCTGGCTTTACTGAAGAAGGAAGGAGAGGTTTCAAGAGACAGCTGGCAAAGTAGGAGGTGCCTGGGAATAAGAATAGTGAGAGATGGGAGTGGAGAGAAAGTAGCAGGCAGGGCTTGCAGGAAATGAGAAACTGATATCCTTCAAAAGCAAACAAAAAACTTCCAATGCCACAGAAGGAAGAGCAGGTGGAAAAGCAGGTGGGTGCCTGAGAAATGAGCAAAATGCTCTGGGAGAATGAATGACTAAACTGCATCCAACCATTTCTCTGACAGATGGTGGCAACTTGTCAGCTGCTCCTCTCTCAAAAAAATGTTACTATGTGGTAAGAGATAATTTTGTGTTTTCCTTTGGCCTCAAGGACTCCTGGTGGCTCTGGCAGTGGGTTCTGCTCCTCCCAGTGAACTGAGGACAAACTTGCAGTCACCATGATGCCTTAGTAAGAAACTATGACTTGGAAGGGAACTTTGAGATCCCCTATCAAACTTAGCGCACAAAACAAACTCTAATACCACAACCTGCTTCTTTACAACATGTGGCCAGTCAGCCTTTGCTTAACCTTCTAAAGCTGCCCATTCAGCTAATTCTCAGAATTTCCTTAATCTCACTTGAAATCTGCCTTCTTACAATTTCTCATCTCCGGGGCCTGCCCGGTGGCGCACTGCTACAGTGCGCCGCTTGGGAGCGTGGCTGCCCTCCCGCCGAGGGTTCGGATCCCACATACAGACCGGCCGCTCACTGGCTGAGCGAGGTGCGGGCGCAACACCGAGGGTTGCGATCGTGTTGCCGGTCCCGGTCCGGTACGGACGCGACACTGAGGGTTGCGATCCGTTGCCGGTCACGAAAAAAGACAAAAAGGAAAAAAAAAAAAAAAAAAAAACAATTTCTCATCTCCTTAAGAACAACAATGCTCTTCTAAATGATGGTTCCACAGAATTTACTCCTCTTTAAACCTCGCTTTTCCAAGCTAACACATCCAGTGACTTTACCCATTAACAGGAGGCCATGGTTTCCAGTCCTTCCTCACCACTCTGTCTTGCAGACACATTCTAGAGTTAATATCTCCATGAATTATGGTACGCAGAATGGGACACAAATTTGAACACTTAAGTCACTAGAAATCCCGTGCAATGGCTAAAATGGGGTGTGGGGACTTTTAGGACAATGACGACAGAAAGAAAAAGGAAACAGGGACTTTAGGAGAGGCAAAAAACATGCAAGTATATCCAAGACCGTGGAAAGGGGATAAAACAAATTCTGGTGTTAATTCAAGGAAAACAAAGTAATCCATAGTAAGTACTCAGTTATAAGAAAAATTATGCCACTAATTTATCACGATGCCTTAGATAAATAGCAAGCTTCACTTTCACTATTGGGCAAAACTGAATTGATAAGTCTTGACTCTGTCTCCCAGAAACTGCTGGGAGACTGAATGAGGCCTTTGGAAGTTGTGGGCTGAAAACATATCACACAAAATATTTGTGCCATTTTGCAGACAGGTGCAAGCATCACAAGACCAGACTATCCAGACTTGATTTGACACCAGACTGGAAAAGGAGGTTCTGAACTAAGAAAGGTGGTCACAGAGGAACAGAAGGAAGAGGAGGTGGAAGACCAGCTCCCAAACCTGCAATGGGATCTTCAACTATAATGGTGATATTCCTGGGGCCTCCTGTAGGTAGACAGACAGGTGCAGAGGAGAGTCCAGACAGAGCAAATGAGAATAGAGAGAAAAAAGAACGTCCTTTTACCTAGCAGAGGCGGGGACATAACCCCCAAGAGGAAACCCCAGTGTTGAAGGAGGGATGACTTGTACAAGAAGCTATACATGACCCACCCTCCCTCAGACCCTTCTGCACAGGTTTTCCCTGGTTTCTTTTTCTACTGCAGGTTACCATGGTTTCTGGAATTCATATGGATTCAAGAATGGGGGCAGGGAAGTTTTACATACTCAAAGGACCATGGCCTGGAGTACTGCAATAGGAGATATAAAGTGAGGATCTTTTTTTTTTTTTTTTTCCAAAAGATGACCGGTAAGGGGATCTTAACCCTTGACTTGGTGTTGTCAGCACCATGCTCAGCCAGTGAGCGAACCGGCCATCCCTATATGGGATCTGAACCCGTGGCCTTGGTGTTATCAGCACCACACTCTCCCGAGTGAGCCATGGGCTGGCCCTAACCCAAGCACTTTTCACATCTAAGAAAGCTCGTGGAAAGACAGGCTTTGATTTGGAGATATTCCTCCTAAAGAGTTCCAATAAGTCAAATCACATCCTTGAGGGAAAACAGGGATAAAAGTTTGTCATTCAGATGAGGTTGCAGATGAGGGCCTTAGTTCTCATTTTTCTAGAAATTACAAAGAGAAAGCAATAGCAACTTCAATTACTAAAAGAAATCCTTTTCTTTGGGGGGGGGGTCTTATTAAATTTTTTATATTTTATTTTTGTATTTTATTTCTGGGGCTTTCTTGACCCAGAAAGGCTTTGAGCCCAAAGGTCCATGTTGTACTTGCTGTTTTGAAGATTCTAGTATAAACGAAATCCAACCAAAGCCTGCCAGGTATCAACAACCCAGAAAAGATGATGGCAGGGAGATGGCAAAAGCAATGAGACGCAGCTTTCGTATGTCAAGGCCACTCCCTGCTATCACTGTTTCTGTGAGGAAGGTCCCAGAGTCAGGGCTTCTTTACATGACTGCCTCTCATTGTGAATTAGTGATGTAGCAGTTAGCTCCACCTATTTGGTTACTAGGTCACATTAGTCCACACTCAGCATAACACTAGTTTCCATTAGGAAACCCTAATATCACTCTACCTCTCATACTGGTATTACCTCCTGACCAAACTTCTAAAGAATCACAGGAAGGGTAGGAATTTAACGAGATTATTTTTAAAGCTCATTAATATTTTTCCTCAGTCTAAGACATTTAAAACTCAATTGTGATGAGTCACACTATCCTCTGATGGTAAGGAACTAGTGAAAGAATTCAGGAAAGCATTTAATATTTAGCAACTTATAAAGGAACAGAGATTTCTTCAGAATCTGTATTACAAACTTCTCTCTTTCACTATAAAGCAGGATATCATGTCATTAAAAACATAACTTCTCTTTCTGCCATCTGAAAAGCCTTAAGAAAAAAACCTCCCTTTCACCCTAAAGGCAGGGGGCCACCTTGCTAATTAGTGGCTGGTGCTCATCATTACCTGAGGCTCTGGAGGCAATGCTGGTATCCGAATGGGAGCGAATATGGCTTTTCTTTGGCCCACTGGTAACAGTGAGTATCTGCCCCTCTGAGAAGCTGGACCTGCGAAGGACACTGGACAGCTGGCTCTGCCCACCACCCTCCTGGTCCCCTACAGAAGCAGCAGCAGAATCTGGCTTCTGGGAGCTGCTGGAGGAGAACAAATTGGAGCTGCTGCTCTCGGCACTGCTGCTGTGACTCTGACAGCTAGCAGTCTGGCCTCGGGGGTCCAGGTTGCCAATGGCCAGGTACTCAGGCCCCTCACTGGCATCACTCGGGGAATCATTCTGGCTGCTGACCCAGGATGCCTCTATGGGGCTGGTCAGAGTGCTGGTGCTCATCTCATTTGGGGTCGAGGAGGAATTCCTGGTTAGTGCAGAGACCGAAAGCACAGAGACTTGGATGGTTTGATCCTCTTCTGGTGAGATGTGCCCTCTGATTTCTTGAGGTTTCCAGGGAGGCCCAGAGAGTGAAAAAGAAGTAGATCTTCTCTCTAAGATAAAAAAAGAAAGTGTAAGGAGAGGGAAAGGTGAGCCAGAATCCTGTGGTATGTATGAAGGACTTCTCCAAACTAAGGGCCAAACTCCCTATTATTACTGGGTGCCCAGGACACATGGTGTCTCCTTAGAAAAGGTAAGTCAAATAAGTAAAAAATTATTTAGAAGCAGTTAAGTCAAGATTGTGGGCTCTTGAGACAGTGGCTTTATTGCTTATTAGTATGCATTCCTCATCTGTAAAATAAGCAATAATAATGCCTACCTCATAGGACTGTCTTAAGGATCAAATGAGATAATACATATAAATTGATTACAACAGGGCCTAGCATGTCGTAGGCACTCAATAAATGTTAACTATTATTTAAATGTTTTCTTGGCAATGTGGATTAGAAACCCAAAGTAATCTATCTCTCTCCCCTCTGTCACTTTAATGATAGATAGGCTAATCACTATATAACTTTTAAAAATATCCATTATTAAGACATAAAGTTGGACAAACTGTACCAACCCAAGGCTTAATTCCCAACCTGTGAGCACCCACAAAATCCTCTACTTTCCAGGGCTGGGGATGCATGTAGTGACCACCGCTTCCTGCTCCCATACCTGAGCCATGGTTGGGTGCAGATTGGTGGAGGCTAGAGAAGGACCCAAAGTAAGAATGCTGAGCATAGCTGGTGGGAGGGTTGTATGTGGAACCAGGGAGAGCTGTCAGACTCTGGCTCTTTGTCACCAGCAGTGGGCTGTCATGCTTTCCGGCAAACTATGAACAAAAAGGAATCAGAGTTAAGGATAAAGGCCCTCAGTGGACGGGCACCCAGTACTGCAGAAATGCTGGTAGAAGCTGGCTTTTGGCAGCAGGCCTGGACTATAGCCACAGCCTGTAGACAAAGCATAGCTACCCTCTACTATAGCATAGCACACAACTTTGAAACCATGAAGTCCTGCTATACACCACAGCTTCTACACTGGAATCCTTCTAGGTGATTGAACCATGAGTGCTTTATCATGGAGGTAGCACAACAAAGTGCTTAAGACTATGCATGTGGAGTCAGAAGTCAGACTGGGTTTCAAATCTAGGCCCTGTCACTTATAAGCCATTTGGTCCAAACTTTGGGCAAGTGATTTATCTACTCTGCGGCCTCCTTTATAAAATGTCTACCTCACAGAGTTGTGAGAATTAAATGAGATAATGCATGTATTGTACATAGCACCATGCCCAGCACATAGAAAGCATTCAATGCATGGTAATCAACAATCAAAATTAAAACAACTAGGAGAGATAGGGGATCCCCCCTAAAAAGAATAGGGACTCTGATCACATTCTAACTGAGGCATTCACTGGATTATTGGTGACTGGGTGAGTTAATTATAGGCAACAAAATTTTCTTTGTACTACAAAACTTTCTTTATACCAAAGGGGAAAAAAAATAATGCCATGTAACACTAGGCCATACTAGTTCTGACACTGTAACCCTGCTCCTGATTCAGAACTATCCCTCTTCTCCCCAGCTCTTTGTCAAGCCTTCTTTCAAGGAGATGCTTACTCAGACTAAGGATCCCAAGGGTTTTAAAAAAAAAACAGTCCTCTAGTCAAGATGGCAGAATAGACGGTCCCCAGCTTCACTCTCTCCCACAAATCTAACAAATTACAACTATTAAAAAGCAATGACTGCCAAGCTGAGGCCACTAGAGCTCAGGGGAAGAGGAGGAGAGACCTACAGACTTCATGAAGGCAGGAGAAGCCACGATGAGAGAAAGACAGACCCACTCCCACCATTTTGAGCCCTGACCACTGCAAGTCTGGAGCTAATGAGCACATGGAGCAAGAGCCAGCAAAAGCCACAGCTGTGCCCTTCGGATGAAGTTGTTTGGGTACAGCAGGAAAAAAGAGGGTCTTGGTGGTCCTCAGGCCAGCTAGACCACTAACAGGATTCCCATGGACCCACACAGGAGCGAGAAGCCACAACAACAGAAAAAGGAACCACTCAGAGGTGAAGCCACTTGTGGTGAGTCATCACAAGGGACTAGCACATGGCCCATCTCATGAGAAGTGTTTGGAGTACAGGCAGTGCAGGGGACGGGCCCACTGGGGGAACATTGGGGCACAGCATGGACAGCTGATCTGTCCCCCAATCAGCACAGGACCACTCATTGGAGACAGGTCAGGAATATAGATCTGCAGGGGGTGTAGTCTACTGAAAAGTCTCAGGCCCAGACCTGAGTTTCCACATAACCCAGGTGTACCCAATCTCACAAGACCTGGAAGCACATACAAGATCAACAATTAAAACCTGAGCTGCACAGAAAGCCTTCCCCAGGGAATCAGCAGCAAAGCAGCAATTTAGCTAAACTACAGGGCTCATGCTGGTCCCCACAAGAAGTTCCTCCATTTTAGAAGTAAGCAAAGGACAACAAATTAGTTCCAGTGCAGAGTTTAAGTGGTGGGAACAGTGAATAAATAATCCAACACAGAACTGAAAGAAAAAACAAAATACCCACAGACCAGAAACAAAGTTTGATATTAACTAGTAAAGGTCTCACATCACCAAAGAACACCTATAAAACCTAGGACTGGAAGCCCTCTGGGATCCCAAGCCAGGGAGCAGCGAGAGTTGGAGGTCTCAGCTATGCCCCCCAACACCCACAACCAGCCCAGTAATGACCACTGAGCTGCTGCAGGAAGCACCCCAGGCTCCTGAGCTGGGGCAATGAGGGGCCAAGGGCTTCAGCCATGCCCCCCAACATCTGCATCCAGCCCAGCAACAACCAAGCCACCACTGGAAGCCCCCTTGTCTCCCCTGCAGGAATGAAAGGGGTGCCGTTGGCCTCAACCACACCCCTGCTCCTTCCTCCTTCTCCCTCCCTATTTCCTTCCCCCTTCCTATTTCCCCCTCCCCAACAACTGCTCTGCAACAACATCTTAGAATGTAAAAAAATAATAATATTAATAAACTTACACACACACACACACACACACACACACACACACACACTTGGCTCATAACTGCCTAAGTGAAGAAGTAGTTTGCTATAGAGGGTTACGATCATAGTGAGGTCCAGGGGCCCAGTAAAAATATGGATAATTCCGGGCCGGCCCGTGGCTCACTCGGGAGAGTGTGGTGCTGATAACACCAAGGCCCCGGGTTCGGATCCCATATAGGGATGGCCGGTTAGCTCACTGACTGAGCGTGGTGTTGACAACACCAAGTCAAGGATTAAGATCCCCTTACCGGTCATCTTTAAAAAAAAATATATATATATATGGATAATTCCTTGTCCCCCTTACCATAGATGCATCAATCTGAGCCAGGAGGCGGGGGTTGTTCTGTTCCACTGCTTCTAGGCATTGGAGCATGGCCGTGACGTGGGCATCACTTAGCAGGAAAGCAGTATCTGGGGAAAGAAAAGCCACCACGGTGATGGAGTCCAACAGGTAAACCTTTAGCCTCCTTATATGGCCCTTGGAGAAGCTCAGGGAAAGAGAGAGAGAGAAGATACAAATGAATTGAGGAGAATCATGCCACTGTTGGGAAAAGGGGAATCGGGGACAAGAAAAGTATAGGAGAGGCTAAGTAATGTGCAATATAGCAAAGAGGCCAAGACAAGAAGCTTCAAAGTCAGAAAGACACTTCAGAAAGATCCTGGTTCTGGGTGACTCTGGCCAAGTCACCTAACTACCTTGAGCTCTGTTTCTGATTGGAAAACAGAGGTACTACTAATACCCTACTCTGAGGGCTGTAGTAAAGAATAGAGTATAACATGATTGGCACATAGGAAACTTTTAGTAAATGGTACTTATTACCATTGGTTTGTGTATATGGGAGTAGGGGGAATACCTTAGCATAAAGTTTGATTGTATTTTACAAGGGAGGTAAGAGGGAAGACTGGATATGTGCTTCTGAGTAGAATCTCTCTGGCATGAAGTGAAACACACGAGGCCCTGGGGTTACAGGGATATTTCTATAGAGGAATATTGTGGTGGAAGAGAAAGAGGAAGTATACACAACAGTCCTGACAAAGTGACCTCTACCTACCTGTGTAGAATTTTCTGATATACTGTCTATCCCCAAGCAGAGGCCGGAGCTGGGCTGAGAGACAGTGGCACTGCAAGCTGTGCTGCAGCCACAACTCTGCAACAGCATGTTCACTCACACCATCAGCATTGCTCTGGCTATTCTCATGCAAGTTGATGAACTGAGAAGCAAAGAGGCATGAGTCAAAACATAAATCCTGGTACGTAATGCAAGATTGAGGTCTAATGAACTGAGAACTAAATTGAGACAGATAAGGAAAGGCAATCAAAGGTATTTTCTTCCAGCTAGCAACTAGAGGATATGGAGGAGTATGAAGTAAGGGATTAATGGCTTCAATGCTGGATTGGGCTACTAGAGAGGGACTAAACAGTTAAGATCTGATGTACAGCTCCAAAGAGGACAAAGCTGCTACATCTGGCCCTTTCTGTTTTAACTCCAAAGAGTATGAATGTTCTGGGGTATTCAGAGGAAGGAAGAACTTGACCTCTTGGCTTCTCTCACAGGGTCCTCTGTTTCAGAAAGAATGTAACAAAAACCTGGGGGAAAGGATCTAGGAAAAGTGCCACCAAAGATTCTTCACCAAAGAGAAGCCATCTGAGCGCCTCTTTCTGGCTCTAGCCACAGCATTCTCTGTTTGAAACTTCCTCCTACTTGGCTGTTTCTAAAAGTAAGGTCTTATAGCCCAGGATCAGTGCAAAAAATGTATGGATGGCAATTTCAGGCAGCTTCTAAGAGTAAATGATTACAGCAACATATTTTAGAAAAGTTGGATGAAACCTTACTGGGAAAAATAAAGTGAGAAGGACAAAGAAAATCTATGTATGAAAATCAATGTACTCTGGTCTTTTCTCACAAAAAAGGCCAGTATGACACTTATCATTTGGTTCCCAGATCATTGAGAAGCAGATTGCTTCTCCTGACATCATCTCAGCAATGAATCTGGCTGTGAGGGTATACACGAAATAAGACTGGCCATGTGTTCACAAGTGTTGAATATGGGTGATACTTTGGAGTTCATTTTGCTATTCTCTCTAATTTTATATATATTTGAAGTTTTCCAAAATAAAGAGTTAAATAAATACATACAGTGATTGGCAGTGATTGTTTTAGAACTAGCTATGTAACTTTGGCCAAGTCACCTAATTTCCTTGAGCTCAGTTTCCATGATTGGAAATCAGGGGTACTATGTTGAGTTGAGGGGACAGTAGAGTAGAGTGCTACAATGGTAGCCAAAGCTGTTAGGAACATATTTGGCTCCATTTGATACTGGCCTCCAGAACCTCACATTTCTTTCTAATTGGTGCATCCTCTTTTCTTGAACAGTTGTTAACATATTAGCCACACTTCCCCTACTACTTTAGAGAACCTCTCGCCATTTGCCCTGGATTTTGGAAAGCATCAACCTGGTCTCATTATATAAAGATCTTCTGATGATAACAAAACATTTTCACCCCTTCCACGGAGGAAAGAAAGTGGCCTCAATCAATCGGTGTACAAGGTTTATTTTTTCAAGCAAACAACTCTCCCCTCCAAGTCAGTCCTATACAGGTAATCTCCGTTCTTCGGTTAATAGGAAACTTGACACACTCCATCCTTCTAGCCTAGGAGATACTTTCTGACAGAATATCAAACAATGAAGACTTGCAGCTACACCTTAGCATACCAGTTCTTTCACTCTTACCTTCTCCACATGACGGGCTGAGTGAGGACTGAGCCACCGGATGTCTTTCACAAATTGCCAGTAATCAGTCTGGTGGCAACACATCTGCTGAGGGAACACACAGTGAGCAAATCACTACCATTTTGAACCAAATCTAGTTCTGGTGTTGACATTCAAAGGGGGAAGAAAAGAATATAATCTTCTCTTGCCTCAACAAAGGTTCTCTGCAGCAATCAAAGGAATACATATATACTCTTTCAAAGAATAATCATTAAAAATAATCTTAATCATTCTTTTGAACAGGTATTACATGCATATTATATAGAAGGTATACAGTGAAAATAATTTGTTTTCTACCCCTTTCGCTCTACCATTCAGTTACTAAAAGGCAATTCTTAAAACTGGTTTAGAGTTATTTGTTAAAAGCCAGAGATGGATGTCTTCAGTTCCTACTGCAAGCAAAATCAAGTTAAAAAACACCTGCTTTTCTCATGCTACCCAAGTCAGGAAAGGGCTGTATGTAGTCAAAGAAATGGTCAGCCCTAAATAAAATGGTTTCACACTGGAAGAGGTCTAAACATGATAGCAAAATATTTATATTATGAAAACCTAAATGCTGTTTTTTGAGAATCCTTTCTGAGACTACTGGGCAGTTCAAACTCAAAGTAATTTTAAAAAACAGAATAGCACCAAATATCGAGAGACAGATCAACTGATGGAACAAAACAGCCTAGAAAGAGACCTTAAGATATATCAGAACTTAATATATGACCCAAAAAGCACCTCAAAAATCAATGAACCTCACCTAGACTGGGAAAGTGGCAGTGAGAAATGGCAGTGTCAAATGTATAGGCTCTTTTGACAATTAGCGTCATGAAAACCTTTAGTATTTTGGCAGCAATGTGAGAGAGTTTCTGGTCTCTGGTCTCTAGTTTAGTGGATATTGAGTGGCCAGGGGTGGGCAGCAGTGAGACATCAACTCCAGCATGTCTCCTGGTTATGTCACTTTTAAGTGAATAGCACCTAAAATTGTTTTCCTTTCTTCAGACAAATTTTAGGCTATTTTAAGCCCTTTAATAAACCACTGTTTTGTTTGAAAAAAAAAAAGAAGAAAGAAAAAATGGATTATTCAACAGTATTCTCAAACAGTGTTGAGACAATTGGCAGGTAGATTCAAAGTAGCTCAATTTAGGTATTCTCCTCAAACCATATACCAAAATAAATTCCAGATGAATTGAAGCGTTAAATATGAAAGAAGAAATTGCAAATGCACCAAGGGAAAAAGAAAAGTAAAGGTACTGGATTTCTGAATAGAAAAAAACTTGCAACATATGAAAGCAAACATGCAGATCAAAATGGAAAAGATAGGGCCGGCCTGTGGCTCACTCGGGAGAGTGCGGTGCTGATAACACCAAGGCCCCGGGTTCGGATCCCATATAGGGATGGCCGGTTCACTCACTGGCTGAGCGTGGTGTTGACAACACCAAGTCAAGGGTTAAGATCCCCTTACCGGTCATCTACAAAAAAAAAAAAAAAAAAAAACGGAAAAGATAGAGGCACAAAATTTAAATTTTTCTACATAATGTAAAAAAACAACATGAATGTTCAGCACTTTTTATAATAGCAAAAAAATGAAAAAACAAGTAAACAACTTTAATCAGTAGGGTACTGATTAAATAAATTAAATACATTCATGCATGTAATATTATATACATATTTAAAATGATACTGTATATTTGCTGAAAGAGTAGATAGCTTCCCAGTTCTCCTGATCCTGGAAAAGAAGCATTCAAGTTGGGTATAGACTACTCTGTAGAATAACAACGCACTTTTACTCCCACCAATGAGTTGTAGTTTACCATGAATCAGTTACTTCTGTTCCCAAACCTATTTCTGTTAGTTGTACTTGCTATAATTTCACTTTTTTTTTTTTTTTTTTAAAGATGACTGGTAAGGGGATCTCAACCCTTGGCTTGGTGTTGTCAGCACCACGCTCAGCCAGTGAGCAAACCGGCCATCCCTATATAGGATCCGAACCCATGGCCTTGGTGTTATTAGCACCGCACTCTACCGAGTGAGCCACGGGCCGGCCCTATAATTTCACTTTTAAAGTAATGATGATGCACAGTGATTAAATGACTGTATATTTATGAACATTAAGTATTATGCTCTGAAAATTCTTTTCAATAAAGTAAGCCACTTGATAAAAGTTAGGACTTGATATCAAACGAGGTAGAGGCAAGACAACTTTCAGAAGTTAGGAAAAAAGACTAAAAATGTAGAAGATTTTTTTTTTTTTTTTGTCTTTTGTCTTTTTCCGTGTCCGGCAACGGATCGCAACCCTCAGTGTTGCCCCCGTACCGGACCGGGGACCGGCAACGGGATCGCAACCCTCGGCTCTGCTCCCACACCTCGCTCAGCCAGTGAGCGGGAACCGGTCTGTATGTGGGATCCGAACCCTAGGGCAGGAGCGCTGCCGCGCTTCCCAAGCGGCGCACTATCCAGTGCGCCACCGGGCCGGCCCAAAATGTAGAAGATTTTATATTCATATTATAGAACCTTTAAATTGCTGGTCCAATACAAAGAAATAGAAAGTGGAAATTCCATATGATATATTATTGGTGCAGTTTATACGAAAAAGATGATGTGGAACTCCATCAGTAGATCCATACTCACAGAAAAGGTTTTGGCCCAATATCCTAAGATTGTTGAACAGACATAAATTTATATGTTTTTTTTTTTTTTTTTTTTTTTTTTTAAAAGGATGACCGGTAAGGGGATCTCAACCCTTGGCCTGGTGTTGTCAGCACCACACCGGTAAGGGGATCTCAACCCTTGGCCTGGTGTTGTCAGCACCACACCGGTAAGGGGATCTCAACCCTTGGCCTGGTGTTGTCAGCACCACACCGGTAAGGGGATCTCAACCCTTGGCCTGGTGTTGTCAGCACCACGCTCAGCCAGTGAGCAAACCGGCCATCCCTATATAGGATCCAAACCTGTGGCCTTGGTGTTATCAGCACCGCACTCTACCGAGTGAGCCACGGGCCGGCCCTAAATTTATATGTTTTAAATTAAAATAAAATGTTTGAGTTACGTATGTTACCACTGTTTGATTCCCCTCACTTAATCAGTTAATGATCCAAATCATGTTGTGTAAGAAGTCTTTTCCTGTCTTTATCAAAAAATAATGTGGTAAAATGACAAATGTTTGCACATTGGGGGAAAAAAGTCAACAACAACAACAACAACAACAATAGATGCTATAAGAGTGAGGGACTACTTACTCCCCCTACCATAATGAAAAGCTACAATAATTAAAACTAAGTGGTGATGGCACATAAATAAGGAACAATGCACCATAATAGAAATCCAGAAAATAGATCCAAATGCATAGGAAATTAAATATGTTCCAAATAAATTATAGATGGAATGATTTGAATGTAAAAAATTAAGTCATAAAAGTAATAGAAAAAAATGGGAAACCATTTTTAATAATCACAAAGTAGGGAAGTCCTTTCTAAGCATAACACAAAGCCCAAAAGTCTTAAGAGAAATGATTGATTTGACTTACAAAAAATCAGGTATTTTGGCACAGTAAAAGCCACCATAAGAAACGTCAAAAGACAAACTCGAAACAATATTTGCAACTCACACTACAGACGAAGAACTAATTCCCTTAATAAATAAAGAGCCTTTACAAATCAGTAGGAAAAGACTAACAACCTAAGGAAAATGGGAATAAAACAGGAAAGAGTTCAGAGAAAAAAATTTAATGACTCTTAAAAACAACTTTCCATGCTAAGGGAAAGGTAGCTTTTCACCTATCATTTGGTTTGGTGACTGGCCAGTATCAGGATCTGAACCCTTGAGCTAGGTGTTACAAGGCAGCACTCTAACCACCAGAACTAACTGGCCAGGCCTTCACTTACCATATTGGCGAAGTTCAAAAAGAATAACATCCTGTATTGACAAGGGTATGGGAATCAGATACTTTTATCCATTTCTGGTGAGGGTGTTAATATGTATAACTTCCTGGGAAGCAATTTAGCAACAGCTATCAAAATTCAAATGTATATACTATTTAACCTAAGAATTCTAGAAATTTACCCTATGATTAAGGGCAAAATGATCATATACAAGCATTGCATTAATATTAATAGCAAATGATTAGAAGCAATCTAAATATCCTTATCAGGGTACTGGCTAGATAAATTATGGTACATATACATAGTGTAATATTATAAAATGACAGCTATAAAAAAGAATGAAGAAGCTCTTTAGGTAATAATTTGGGATGAATTACAAGATATATTAAGTAAAAAAGGTAAGGTGTAGAATAGTGATTACAGTATGCTATTATTTATATAAAAAACCAGGAGGTGTAGCAAAGGAAATCATTCATATTTGCTTTTATAAGCATAAAAAGTCTTTGGAAGGAACTAGTAAACAGTAGTTACCTATGGGATCAGAGGGGAACAAGTCTCTACATTATATGGCTTTTTACTTTTTGATTTTTTTTAACCATGTAAATGTATTGTCTATTCAAAAAAATTAAATATTCTTAAAGCAAGTTACAGAGTGCTATATATACTACAATTTCAGTATTTTTAAAAGCACATACATAGAAAAAAGTATAAGAAAATCTACCAAAATATTAAAGAGTGGTTGCTATTACTTGGTGTTGAGATCATGGGTGAAATTTCCTTTTTTCTAAAGTAAATTTTAGGTATTTTCCAAATTTTCAACAAATCAAAATATATTACAAATTTTCAACAAAATAAAAATACATATTACAGAAAAAACACACAGAAGTCTTTTTCGATATTACTGTTATATCTGTGTTGCCAAGAACAGGTTTTCTCTTGGTGGTGGAGAGAGGGGGAATCCTTCAACTCCTCCTATTCGGTTGAGCAATCTCAGGGACTGAATATCTACACATTTCTAAGCAGCAGCAAAGAGGTTGTCAAATATACACTGCTTTATTATGGAAGGACTAAAAGGTAGCCCAGATGCAGGCTGTCAAGGAAAATGATATCCCTCTAAGACAAAAGTCATGATGTTATAGCTTTCCTGAGGTTCTGAGTAATTTAAAAAAAAGAATGCAACTCACATTCCATAACACATCCTTACAAAAGCACAGAAGAGATATGATCAGCACAGCATTTCCCTGCCCCCACTTCAAGGGCACAACACCCAGAATAGCTTTCTGATGACACAGCAGCCTGAAACATTTGAAAGCCTTAATCTTTAGAGAGGAAATGAAAGAGAAAAACAAGTTCTTGATACAGACTTTAATTCTTAGATCTCTAAAAGGCCGAACAGAGCAGCAGTGAAATTGGTATGGAGCTTTTGGTTTTTATCCTTCCCACTATAGTCTGTAATTATTCAGTGTGTGTGTGTATGTATGACAGATTTGCCTGGTTTTTGCTCTGCTTCTGCTTACTAACACTACTGCTGTTTTGCAGGTGACCAATACTTTGATATTTTTCATTCTAATGATCAGGTGCTTTTACAGATATTATCACTTTTATTAACTATAATAATATATGTTAATAGTGTTTTGCATTTATCAAGCGTTTTTCATTTGAAAATTTCATTGACTTTAAAATTTCATCATGACACATTTTCTCTTTCTGCCACAGATGGTGAAACTGTCTTGTAATATGGTTAAATGATTACAAGACAATGTAAAATTAGTAACAGGGCAAAGAAAAGAACGTATTTGCTGTCAAGACACAAATACTTTAACCACTAAATGGTACCACCACTAATCTGGCAGATATTTTGGTCATCAGCCTGGGAAACTTGTGTTGAGTTTTTGTAAAACATGTTGGTGTGATTCCCAGGTTTCTGGCTTGGAGACTGAGCAAGCAGATCAATGCCACAAATTAGTATAAAAAATATCAACAGGAAGGGCAATCTTATGAGAGAAAATAAGTTTAGTTTTGGTCATACTGTACTTGGCCTGTAGGATGGATAGCCAGATGATAACATATAGAAAACAGCTAGTCTTCTGGATCTAGAACTCAGCAGACAATGTCTGAGTTGGGGGTCATCAGTGTATGGGTGATAGTTAAAACAATTTAAGTGGATAAGATTGCTTCATGAAAATGTACAGAGTAAGAAGAGATAGGACTTATGGCAGAACCCCATTAAAAAAAAAATTTGAAGAGAAAAGAAATTCCAGAGAAAGAAACTGAAGAGTAGTCAAAGAGGTAGGACAATGCCTCTGTGAAATTAGAAGATAATGTCATACAAGTCAAAGTATAATAATTGCCACGAGTGTTGAACATAAAATGGTGTTCAAAGGAGAAATGTTTACTGGATTTGGTAACCTGGATGTCGTTTTACTAAATTGCAGTGCAAGAGCAACCAGTGGTAAGGACAGAAATCAGATTTCAGTGGGTCAACTTATTTGTTTTACAAGTTCCAGTGTTCCTAATTATTTTAGGACTACATGTAATTGGAAGTTAAAAAAATTAAAAGGAACATTTATTAATTACTTCTTATGTGCCACCAAATGTGCTAGGCAAATTTATGTGCTATTTCATTTAACTTTTCCATAAAAATTTATTTTATTAAGTAAATACCATTATCCTCATTTTTACAGATGAGAAGGGCAAGGCTCAAAAAAGTTAAGTAATATTATCTAATACCTATGATTGAACAACAACTATGTTTTCTAATGCTTTTCGTGTGTTATCTCATCTAATTCTCACAACAATCCTATGAGGTGGTTACCAGTGTTATCTCTACATTTTACAAATGATGAAACAGAAGCATAAAGAGTTATGTAACTTATCCAATACCACATAGTTAATGGTGAAGCTGAGATTAAAATGTGAACAGTATGACTCAAAGGTCTGTAATTTTAACTACTACGTCATTTTATTTCCCAAGGACTTAAGCAACAAGTATGGATTTTGATCTAGGTTCTGTTTGATTCCAAAGACTTTTGTCAGTCTATTACCCAATGATGCTTCCAAATTCCTAGAACAGGTTTTTAAAACAATGATCATTAAGAAGAATTCCCCTCTTTAATGGAGAAATTTTTTTTTTTTTCCTTTTTGTCTTTTTTTCGTGACTGGCAACGGATCGCAACCCTCAGCGTCGCGCCCGTACCGGACCGGGACCGGCAACGGGATCGGGATCGCAACCCTCGGTGTTGCTCCCGCACCTCGCTCAGCCAGTGAGCAGCCGGTCTGTATGTGGGATCCGAACCCTCGGCGGGAGCGCTGCCGCACTCCCAAGCGGTGCACTGTAGCAGTGTGCCACTGGGCCGGCCCATTAATGGAGAAATTTTTTAAATCTTCAAAATTCTTTAAGAAAGAGGACTTCCCCTTCAGAACTTACTCTGAATAGAAAAAAATCTAATCTAAGCCAACTTTTCCACTGAATTCTGAAAATATGCAATAGGAACATTTGTTTAAGGACACTGTTCAGGGCCGGCCTGGTGGCGCACTGGAGAGTGCGCCGCTTGGGAGTGCAGCGGCGCTCCTGCCGAGGGTTTGGATCCCATGTGGAGACCAGTTCCCGCTCACTGGCTGAGCGCGGTGCAGGCGCGACACTGAGGGTTGCGATCCCCTTACCGGTCAGTAAAAAAGACAAAAAGGAAAAAAAAAAAAAGGACACTGTTCAGAAGTAATGTATACATATGAGGGTACCTCAAAAAGTCTGTGGATCTCAGTTAAAAAAAAAAGTTTGTGGAAAAATGGAATTAAAAGATCATACAAATCTTTCCATGAACTTCTAGAGAGGGCAACACATTAAATCTTATCAAGTATGAATACATGAACACCAACTAGTTTATTAGATCTTTTCCGATGTGATTGCTAGCTGAGAACAAATTCTGATAAAAGAGAAGGACAAGCTTGACTCTGGGGAAAGGAGTGCCCAGAAAGAATACTAGGCCCTGACATGACAGGACATAAGTGTTCAAGAGCACGTGATTATGCATGTATTTGTGAGGTTTGATTTTCAAAAAGTAGGAGGATACCAAATCCCAGGGACTCACATGACAATTTTATTCAGAACCAAATTTTATTTAAATCACTGCAAATGGAGTAATTGGCAAAAATCATTAAGCATTATTGGAGTCCACTCATTTTCAAAACTCAAAGCTTATTAGAGTGTTTGAGGATATAAAGGAAAAGAAACTAAACATCAATAAATTTAAATTTTAAAAATCTAAGCTACAAAAAAAAAGAAAAAAGAAAAAAAAAATCTAAGCTACAATTAAAACTACCATTCATAGCATCAACCAGCATCTACAAAACATCTATAAAGTAATGTTCAAAGGACATTCTAAAAATGACAATACTTTGTAAGTATTTCTCAGATGTGTCCCAGAATGTTCCTAAGAAGAAAACTCCAATGACTCATCATCACTGTCCTTATCCTCCCGCTCCTCAACATCATAGCACATACTTCGATAGCTCTTGCTATGCTCTAAGTGCTTTACATATTAATACTCATTTGATCCTCACAACAACCCTAGAGGTGGATAGATACTACCTCATTTTATTGGAGAGGAAACTAAAGCACAAACAGGTTAAGTATCTTGTCAAAGGTTATACAGCTAGTAAATGAAAGAGCTGAAATTTGAACCTAGGCAGTCTGGTTCTACTCTGAACCACTACCTATTAAGTACTTATGGTTAATCCTCCTCATTTCATTTCACCTCTTGTTTTCACTAGTCACTTCTACATCTGCTAGAGTTTTTGCTTATATTTTGAGGATGAATTCTCACTACCCTTGCAAGAAAAGTACAGAAATCTGTCTTCCTGTTACTAATTTGATGTCAAGATAGTAATAACAAAAGTCTGAATTTAGGGAACAAGATGAAATTCTAACTCAGAAGGAATCAGAGGAAGAATTGATGATTTTGCATCAGGAAAAAAACTAATTAATACTAATTACACCAGTTTGATCATACCTAAGCAATTAATTATCACTAGATCATACTGGCTTCTTGGCAAAAGGATTTCCCAAACAAAAGTACATTTAATGTAACTGAGCACATGAAGTTTCACCTTCTCATCCTGTAGAAACATTTCCTGGATGGAAGTCAGAGACTGATTAAATACATTTTTGCCTTGGCTTTTTTTCTTGCTTTATTCTACCTACTTCTGAAAAAACAACATGGTTTTAAACCAAAACTAGGATTCAGAAAAAAAAAGCTTTGGATCTTATGATGGGGAGAGTATCCTGGTGAGCCAATGTAAATTACAGGGGTCCTTCAAGGAGGGAGGCAGGAGAGGTCGGAGGGAGAAAAGATGATGTGAAAGCAGAGAGAGAAATTTGAAGATGCTATGCTGCTGGCTTTGAAGATGGAGTAAGGGGCCAAGAGCCAAAAGAATATAAGAAATGCAGCCCTAAAAGTTGGAAAAGGCAAAGAAATGAATTCTTCTCTAGAGCCTCCAGAGGGAATGTAGCTCTACAGATACCTTGGTATTAGCCTAGTGAGACTCACTTTGGACTTCTGACCAGAAGGACTGTAAGAAAAAAATTTTTGTTTTAAGCTATCAAGTTTGTAGTCCATTATTACAGCAACAATAAGAAACTAATTAACTACTCTTTTGTTGCTGATTTGCTGTCCTACCCAGCAATTTATTTATTCCATTGACATCTATCATGCAACAGGCACTAAGTCAAATGTTCTAGATACAAAAAAAAAAAAATGTATTAAGTCATAGTCCTACCCGCAAGAGCTCACAGACTAGTGGCCTTCATCTTCTCCCTGCCAACTAATTTAATGCAACTGTTTCAACCAGTGATTCAGCCAAGAAGAATTCTGCATACCTGGTCATGGATAAGCCCATGATAGAGGATGCTCTGCATGTCCCTGCAGAGCCTCTCCAGGCCACCATACTTGGACCAGACGTTGGGGCTGTTGACCGACACCAAACCCTCCACAGTAGTCTTCAAATTACCTAGTAACTGCCAGTGCTCTCTCCTGCAAGGACATCAATTATACCAATGGTTAGTTAACTTTGTTATACCTGATACTGATCATGTCAAACAAAGTCTAAGCCAAGAAGCCTCTTGCCCCACATCCTAACATTCTCACCCCTATTAATTTTTCACTTGGACATAAGACTCAACTCTGAGAGGATTAAAGTTGTAAAGAACACTAAGATTAAAATCAAAAAACAAACAAAAAAGCTCACATCTACCTGACACATACTTTGTAAAGCAATTTTCATCTACTATCTCATTCAATCCTCACGTAAGTAGCCTATAACCCTGTGTTTATAAGAGTATGACACATTAAGATCCATTTCTAAACAATGACAGTACATGGGCAATATATAAAAAGATGAGGGCATCAGCTCAGAATCAGACATCTTTTGCCAAACAAAAAAAACCAAAAAACTACTTTTTATTCAGTAGATTTCCAAGCGCTAAGCACAGCACAATGAAGGACAGAAAATGCTTTCCACACATGATCCTACAGAAATATTATTGATAAAACTACAAATTGTCCATGATACTTAAGCTAAAGTTGAGACCAAAATGTTTTAAGTTTGTACTGAGCCACTTCGGGACATGCCCCTAAACCAGTCAACTACTGGCTTATTCTCCTAGACCATTTGAAGTATTTTAGTAGAAAATTCTGAAAACTGCTGTCCTAGATGATCTTTAAGTTTCCTCTTAAATCCCCAGAATGTTCCAATACAGTTTCCAACCCAATAAAAACTCAAAACCAACTGCAATTGAATGGAAAGAACTAGATATGCTGAATCAAACTGGATAAGGAAAACATGAGGAGATCAAGTGTCAAATTCCTTCTCTTGGACCCCCAACTGTTATCCTGTGTACTCTACCTTGCCCTTTCATTTCTTATTAGAATACTATTCTTTCCTCTTTTCAGGGACAGTCATGGGAATGGCAATGATTTCTTCAGGAAACTTTAACCATGACTATTTTATATCATTTAAATACTTATGGGATGGGAGGGTCCTGAATTAGAATCCTTTCTATCAGTACTCAAAATTAACCTCTTTTGTACATTTTGTACATTTTCTGAGCTATTTTAGGAAAATGGATGAGTAAAGTAAAGGCAAATAAAATCCACACATAAAATTAAATGAATGAACCTAGGTATAGGTATGAGAGTGCCAAATAAAAAGAGAAGGCCAGATGGGTCTCACTCTGGTCTTTTGCTCTGAAGGGCTTGTGACCAAGAATTTATTCAAATTGGGAGACATTTTCTTAACTTTATGCCATTAAACATTTGAGTCACCAGACTTCCTTTGTTCTATTTCTATACCAGTCCTGATAAATATCTCAAGATCACTAAAATGCCGTTTATTGTTATACTCTGAGAAATTACCAACAGAGAGGCCAACTGATGGCAACTTTTGCTCAGTCACTCTGCAGCTCCTATGTTTTCTCAGGGCTAACTAACCTCTGGTCTGCTTTGACTAACACAGTTTTCATATTCCAACATGTTGTAATCAAGTCTTACAGGCCCAAGAGCCTATCTGGCTCATCAGGTAATTCTGCACATCTGTGTTCTGATTCATTCTATATTCATGCATTCTGTATTGATTTTACAATGTTAACTGTCAAAGGATATCATGATAAATCCAAAAAGCAGACATCAAGTACCCTATCACCCTAGGGCTTTGATTCCAAAATTATACAAAGAACACTGAAATCCTAGAAACTTTGAGCATTCAGATCTAATAATTTTCTCTGGACAAAGCTAAAGAACTTCTCTTCCCCAAGATAAAGTGTCCCTGAGATGCCAAAGCTACAAAAGAATGTGGCTCTTATTCTAAGATAAACCAATCTATATTTGGTATATGTTCATGTAGAAGAAAAGTAAACTCTTAAAATTTTGATTTACACAGCTAGTATGTTTAGTTAGTGTCTTTACCTTTTTAGGATCCTTTACCCTGATGATACAATTATCACTTTCAGAGTTGAAATACTAAATTCAATTGAAACCCATACACAGTGGTTGGATTAATTCAGTTGTGTCTGATTCTTAGATGCAAGTAAACAGATCACCATGGAGAAATCAAATATCCTTTCCCTATTATTTAACCTGTTTTCAGCAGGTAAGGTCAGTTTTTCCTAGGTAAAATCTGTTTGGTAATAATTATTTGGATGGTATCACTCATTCACATGTAACCTTTATCTGGGAAGCATCAACGCCTTTGAAGTACATTAGGTTCAAAGCAGTTCTTGGTGGAGCCACTTCTACAGGTACATAGAATGCTCTCCTTTATTCATTATGTATTAAAAGCATGTCTTTCTAAGCATTGCACTCTTATGCCAAGGAGGAAACAGGCCTGAGTGGCAAAGGACAGCATAATCCATCTCCACCTGAATCATTTTCATCAACTCACAGTAAAGCCAGTCTCAGAATAAAATCCCAACTATTTCTTCTGGGAGGATTGTGACCATGTTCCTCCTTTAAAGAGAAATAAGGAATTGCTTAAGTGACTCAAACAGTATGTCTGATGAAAAACAGTCTTCGTAAATGCTAACGCAGTTTTAAGCTTGCCAAATTATAATAAGCGACACGCAAGATTAAAACAAAAAAGTTACAAACAAATGTTATTTTTTTTTAAAGTATTACAAAGGAGTCACTCTGAACCTGTTCTGGTTTTGGCATCTGCCCAGTTAGCAAATCATTAAAAAAATAAAAATTAAAAGAAAAAGTATTATACCATATAACTAATATATAAGTAAAATACAATTAATCACTAAAAATAAGTGAAATATACCACAAATAGTAAATAAGCAAAAGTACTGTGCAATTGCAAAGTGAGATTCAACGTAAGAAATATATTTTGGGATATTTTCAATCCCCAAGAGGCCTTTGTAATGGTAAAAGGAAACAGCTTCAGCTTATTGGCATATCCCTTCCACAGTGTGCTGTTTATCCGAAAAGGGTTATGGTATCATTACCTGATATCATAGCTGAAGATCAGGTTGTCCCAAGTTAGGTAACGATTTGATCCCTGAAGTAGGGGGAGAGAAGTGTGACAGCCATATGATGGGATATCATGAAAGAATTAAAATTTTTTTTATCAAAAAGAGTTTCCAAAGCTAATGGATAGCATGTTAAAGTATGAAAAGCAGAGTGTAAAATTATATTTATGATCTTAACTTAAAAATACTGAAAGAAATGATAGTTAATAGTGAATATGTTAATATCATCTTTGATGATATAAGGGGAATTTAGAGAAAAGAAGAACTGTTTAGGCCTTCCCTGAGATTAGTAATTAATAAAGGATTGATAATCTGAACGAAGTTAGCAAACAAGAAGCTGGAAAGCACCATAAAGAATTTTTTTTTAAATATCCAAGTACCAAGGATTTCTTACACTGACAGACTCTGGTTGGGCAAACCCCTGGGGCTTTTAATGTCAGAAAGCACTTCCTGGAAAGAAGTAATGGGTTCCTTCTTAAGGTAGAGAAAAACCTAATCAAGTGAAATAATTATTAGTAACACTAAGGTAGCAAGAGACCATCACATTTAATTTGTAATTTGTGATTAATTTTTCTTCTTCTCTGGCTACATATTTTGTTTTTAATTACACAGTATTTAACTTGTAGACTATACACACACACATATATAAAATATTTAACTACACAGTTAAATACTTATGCTGCGTTTTTAATAAACAATATACACACAGAAAAAACATACTTGACTCTATCATATAGTTCCTCAGCTATGGGGCACCTGGGAGAACCTAACCATCCCTATATGGGATCCGAACCCGTGGCCTTGGTGTTATCAGCACCGCACTCTCCCGAGTGAGCCACGGGCCGGCCCTACCAGTCATCTTTAAAAAAAAAAAATTCCCCATCGTTTGGCCCCAATCTAAATACCAACTTTATTGCTCAATACTACTCAATCTGAACATAGTCACCCTCTCTATCACAATCTATTTCAAGCACGCCAACCTCACTCCTACTTCATTGACTTTATTCATGCAGACCTCTCCACTTGGAGTGACTCTTCTTTTCTCACCCCACTCAGGGATTCAGGTTCAGCTCTCCTCTCAAGAGGTTCTAAATAATCTGACACACTATAACTAGAACCCCCATAGGATATGCTGTCAATAGACCATTCTTCCTAATAATATTTAAAATACAGCCAAACAAAAAGATAGTAGGAAACTATGATATTAATACCCAGGTTGTATTCAAGGCAAGAATTACGTAAAAAGACAAAGAGGGAATAATGAAGATATAGCTTTCATTAATTTTTAAGTTTCTAATAACATGGCTTCAAATATATAAAACAAAAAAAAATAGGGCCGGCCCGTGGCTCACTCGGGAGAGTGTGGTGCTGATAACACCAAGGCCCCGGGTTCGGATCTCATATAGGGATAGCCGGTTCGCTCACTGGCTGAGCGTGGTGCTGACAACACCAAGTCAAGGGTTAAGATCCCCTTACCGGTCATCTTTTAAAAAATAAAAAAAAATTAAAAAAAAAAATATATATATACACATGTGGGTATCAAAAGCTGCAGAAAATACAAAATAAACAGGAAAGTGAAAATGGAAAGGAAAAAACAATGGTGATGGGAATTTAACATTCCAATTGTGAAAGCCAAAAGTAAAAAAGTGATTAGAAGAGCTGAATAATATACAATTAATAAGTTGTTCTATTACATCTGGAAAGCTACATCCTGAAGAACACCGTTTTAAAGTACCCATAGAACATTCACAGAAACTGGCCTTGTACTAAAGCACAAAAAAAGTCAATAAATCGTCCAAAGTAGAATTAGTACAGACCATATTCTCTGACCAGAAAGCAATAAGACAGTGAGTAAACAACAAAAATAGAACAAACAAATAGAAAAGAAAAAAAAAAACCTTTGGAAAATGTAAAACTCTCTCTTAAAAGCCTCTTGAGCAGGCAAAAAGAAATCATGGTCTTAAAGGAGGGTGGACGAATAGCTCTTATTGCTTTCTTCTCAAAAGC